AGGTTTGGAGCGTCTTGTATAATGAGACGAAACAAAAATAACGATAGCAACAAAAGTCTCGAGCCAGATGAAGAACAAAAGGAAGAATGAGAAATTTGTTACATTTAATTAGAAAGTCGGTCAAGGGGGTCTGTACCGTAGAAAAACGTAGCACTATAGAGCGTGTAATACGCTTATTAAAACGTATGATATCGTACTCGTATTACGCGCACGCGAAGAAACAAAAATAATAACGACGAGAGGTGTAGAGAAGAGAGTCGTAAAAGAAAAAAAATATTAAAAAATGACAGCTACTGGCTTGCGCAAGGTATATTACACTTTGATTCATGGGTGTGCGCGTCGGACAAAACGATCGATTCGTGTTACGTTATAAATCGTGTGTGTGTGTGTGTGTGTGTGTGTGTGTCTATCTCTCACTTGCTTCCAGAAAAGGTATACGCTTCGAGTTTTCAACGTGCTCGAGCTATCTTAAATTATAATTGAGAAAACGGAGAAACGTTATAATTATCGCGCACTATCGCTACTTCGGGGTGCAGGACGAGACGAGGCTCGGGCCTGCAGACCTCTGCATCTTCCGGATCAACGACGAGAATCGTCGAGTGGGGTGCTGGTCGACGCTCGAGACAAGTTGGGCCGGACGCCGCTTCGATTATGGCTGTTTTCGAGGAGAGCTTTCAAGCTCGCGATCGTCATCGAATCGAATAAAAGTTGACACAATGGCGCGTCCGACCTCGTGACCGTCGTCGAGCTTCTCGAGGAGAACTTCAGGGCTATGATAATGAATTTTCTGCAGCTGGGTAAGTATGAGTAACAGGAGGAAAAAAAATGGGCCAGCAGCACTAGTCGCGAGAGAGAGTAGTATGTAATATTATTTTTTGCAATATTTTATGCACTTCGTGACGCTTGCCGATGAAACAGGAATTTTCGAGGATTCACATTTGACACCGGCGAAGAGCCGCAGCGTGTAAAAGTATATAAAATATTGATCAAAGTCGTTTCACGCGCTGAAAAATAATTTTTCTGGTGGTAATAAGAAATCGATTAAATTGCCATTATGATTATCGATTTTCGTAAGAATATAATTTACGCTAATTCTTATGTCGATTTCATTGTCGAATGCGGCATATATCACGTGGTCTTACGTTTAAATTCGTCAAAATTATAGACAGTAATGCATGTAACAATTACCGAAAAATTTATTCCTCCTCGCGACCAAGAGAAATAAAGAGCCACGATATTATTATATGTGCATTAATTAACATTTAGCTCGCGAGTTCGCGTGGAAAATCAATGTCGTCGTCGTCGTCTTATCGGTGTTATCAGTTTTGGCGCTGTGCAGCTTACAAATGTATAATATCTCCTCGGCATGTTGGATCTCGTTACGTAACGATGCACAAACACAGACAGACCCACACACATATTCGTACGTTTATCGTTATTATTAATAAACGTACACGAAATCAAAGTCGGTTTGACCTCGTCCATGGCCTCGACTACACACGCACTCGAGGGGGATGAAAAGCTCTCGGTCTGTGTATCAATTTCCAATTTCCCCCAACCGGCGGTGGTTTTCCGCGCCCGCGGCCGTGCATACATCATGTACGAATCGTTATAAATCCAAAATGTATACGTATCTATAGATATAAAGTACACGCGCGTCGTACTTCTCGCGTGCCGTATTACTCATCGACTACATCACGCGCGGATTATAATAGTAATTATAACTATATATATAACGTGTATGTGTGTATCGCGAGAGACGCCTTGTTACAACCTCGCGCTCGATAATTCGATATTTTATATTTTTATATGGATTACAGAAAGGAGATGGAAAAGCCGGAGGAGAGGAATAGCCGATCGAATCGATCGGTCGATTTTCTCCCTTAAATTTGCTGCCGCGCGAGTTTATAAGCTCGTAAATTTATAAATTTATAAGCGCTGGGCTATAAATATAATGATACGCGCGTCGTGTGTGTCGAGTATATGGACAGAGCCGCGACAAACGTGAGATGTACAAAATTGAAATTATAATCAAGTATTTACTATTGAAGAGTACATTAAACATAATAAAAATCTTAGAATGTAGGCCTTCTATAATTGGACTTTCATTTTGTAAATTTCATTTTGATTTTATAAGATAACTATGAAAAAATATTCGAATCATGAATGTTTGCTGACAAAAATCATGTTTTCAAACTAAGCTCCTTTAAAATAGTATATTTTTTTGCTAGGAAGTGAAAAACCGAAGACTCTTTTTTCACTGCATGGTGCAAATGAACTTTTTTGTGAATCCCCCAGCCTAAAGTAATATTTTCATTTCGCTCAGCGGGAGTGAAATGTTACTTTAGGTTGGGGTAGCACAAAAATAAAATTATAGCATAAATTTTCAAAGGTGAACTTGTTTATATCTTTTCAACAGATTAGTACTGACATATTTTGCTCTTACCAAGACCAAAATGCAACTTGCACCAAATATCTTCATCTGCTGACCTGCTCATTCATTTTGACAGCTCTTACAGGATGAGCGAAACAAGTTTTATCTCTAATTTTCAAGAATTTTCCATATTTTCTCATTTGTCGAATGCTGCCAAATTTTCTCTAAGAGTCAATCGATGAAGTAGTTAATTATGCTATATTTTGATTTTGAAAAGTTTTTAAATTACAAGCATGATTATTGGCATTCGATTTAACAAAACAAATCATTGTTTAAATACTTTTCTCAAAGTCACCCCATAAAACTAGAATAGAAATTTAAGATTCAGTAGTCCTTAGTAGACCCACAAGGGAAGAACCTACAGTGCTCAAATTTGTCAATCATAGTTATTTTTCAACCCTATCTTCAACCTATACATACTTCGGTCATCTCACGCGTTCAACATGGCTTTGCCCGTGTATCATCACTGCACCGAGCAGCAGCAGAAGCGATACGTGCACTTCGCGTATCAGCAGCTCACACACGTGCGTCGTCGTCGTCGTCATCTTTTTCCCCACCTACTTACAATATATACACCCCCGCCGCCGCCTCTCGCTCGTTCTTTCGCGCCGCGCGCGTGCATCATCGTGTTCGCCGAAGAAGAAGAAGAAGCTGCTGGCTGGTAAACATTCGTGCAGCTTGCAGCGACGCTTCGAAACACTTTGGGATTTTTCGCTCGATCCTGACGGGGGCTTATATATGTATTATATAGAAGGTGTAAACGCGTCTGGCAGCTCTCGAGGGTACGTGTAAGCATAGGTACGAAGAAAAACACCTTCTCCCGCCGTTGCGCCGTTTACGTAATATTATAAATAAACAGCAATAAATGGAGCAACGACTCTTTATATTTTTCGAAAAAAAAACAATTATCCATCGATGCACGAAAAAAAAAAAAAAACACGATGACGAATCCCCGCGATGACGATACACAATTAAATATGTCTGTGCATGTTTATTCGATACGTATATATAAATAATAAAACGCGTGACGCGATTTCGCACCTCCGCGCGCCTACTCCGATGTATATATCCGCAGCGTATTACGCATCGCGAAGTTAAAAGACGGAAAACTATATGGTACCCGCATTGTACAAATATATTTAAGCGATGCACATGCATCGACGCATATATATATATAGCCTATATATCATATTAGCGAGAATCGAGCCTCGTGTCTCATATGTGCACCGCCTGTCTCGCGAGACGTGTATATCACGTGGTAGGGCCGCCGCTATATATATAATACGGCGGAGTCGAAGAGGCAAGCACGCAACGCGAACCGACTCGTGCCTCGTCACGAGTCCGCGATTCCCCCGCGGTGTATGTTTAGGTACATAGTACGTGTGTGGGACTACCTAGAGGCGTATCGTTATCGTTATTTTATTTTTTTGATTTGATATTCTAATGCAATTGGGTGAATGTATACAGTCTTAATGGATGTCGAGCGCGCATATATATTATATAAACGAATCACAGATGATGACAAAGAGGCACACAGAGTTACAGCAGGCACGAATTTATATACAGAGAGAAATGTCCAAACGTGCGCGTTTTTGTCCTATACCTATACATGTTTGCATAAGTATGCGTGTATATATACATGTATGTATTATAGCCGAGAGGCAACATGGCCGTCTCCGCGAGAGTCGCCCCCGCTCTTTTCTCTCTCTCTTCGGGCTGCGGGGCCACCGCCCCTCGCTGCTACATACACACACACATTTATCAAGCTCTCGCGTGCGTGCGTCATTCTACTACATACGCACACATACATATGCATCGTGTCGTGTGCGGTGGAGGGCAGGGGAATTTCGACTTTTCACCCCTCGTAAGGAATTTTTGTAGGTTAAATTTCGCTATAGGGTTCACCGGGCGCGTAGCACGAAGTGAGCCCGTGGACTCGAGGAGTCGCGCACTCTAACGATAATCTTTGTTTTTTTGGGACTCCGAATAAGTATATAATATATCCATGCCACATAACGCTAGTCTCTCTCTGTGCACCTATACGTACACATGTAATACACGCGTAAATGTGTATGTATACGTATGTAAGTATGCGTGTTGTACGCCGTGAGCGGCGCCCGGGCACGCAATCTTCTTACATGTATTCTCTCGCGTATATACCACTACGAAGTTACGATATATTCTGTACACACGTACGTATACACACAACACACGGACAGATCACGCACACATGCACGCGGAGAATTGGATTTTCCCCGGGCGGGATGGCCGATGGACTGCGGCGTTTGCGAATACATCGATGTACGTACACGATATATACGTGCTCGGGAGGGATTTCTATCCACATACATATGCGTACGATTGCGAATATTGCACATCGATTACATTACGCACACACATATACGCGCACGACTCGAGTCCGCGAGACGAGGTTACATCTCTCGCGCGCGCCTACGAAATTATCATAACCCACACTCACACGTACACACGCGTATCGTCGCGAATATACACTGTACACTGTTTTTTTTTTTTTGGCATCAGGAAGAAAAAATGAACGTAAACTAACCTTTATCCCTGTCTTCTTTATTAATCAGCTACTACCTCGAACGAGATGATGATCGCGCACAACAAAAAACTGGTGCGACACGCTGTTGGTGGCGGCGACGGCGGCGACGACGGTGGTGGTGGTGGTGGTGGTGGTGGTGGAGCAGGCGAGATGGGATGCGGAGTCTCTTGCTGCCGCGCGCTTCTCGACTATCGAGAAAAAAAAAATACGCACAAACACACTTACTTAACTGTATACACGCGTTGATTATTATTTAATACGCGAGAGAGTCACACACTGACGGTGTATATATGCATGTACGGGATCGCAGCAGAGAGAGAGAGACGCAAGAACGCAGACGACCTGAAAGTAGCCGATCGACGAATACTATCGCACGCCGCACACTTGTTCAATCGCCGCCGCGTTATTTATTATATACGTGTGTATGTATAAAACCTATATATATATATACTTAGCTGCACAAACACACGTACGATAGAGAGACATCGTGTGAGCTGTGGAACTGCGCGGCTTTTATCTTGTGTGTGTGTGTGTGTGTGTGTGTGTGTGTCGCGGGAATAGAGGTGTATCAAGGCGCCAACCGTCGACGAAAGAGAAGCAGTTATCTTTTTCTTATGTACTCTGCAAAATTCGGAGAATGATATTGCAGAACGGAAAGAATCTCCGTTTATTCAAAGTTCATTTCACGAATTTCGTTCAAGGAGATTTGCGCACTTTGCAATAGGATATACGCGCGGATTCGTCCTTTTTTTTTTCATCATTGCGAATCAAAGCGAGAAACGAAATTAACGCGCGTAGGAGTTTTCATCTCGTCTCTTTGAACACACGTGTAAATTAATTTTGCGCGAGAATTTTCTCATAAAGCCCCGGCACCGATGTATTGGATTTCGTCCATATATATTGTATATGTTATATACGTGTACACGCGCGCACGCGATATAACATCGAAAACTGATCCCGCAAGGAATGATTCCTCTTTCGGCGCGTATAAAGCTCTTTCCGAGCTAGAGATATTTCAATTATATACATGAAAAACACTTTCCACGCGCGTTTTATTGGAAATCTCGTTTTCTGTGAAACCGGAAGCTCGAACGTGGGAGAGAGAGAGGGAGAAAAAAAATCGGTAATTTCTGTATGTGATACCGATTATTTGGCTATTGATACACTTAGGTGTGTGTCACCGTGAAACGAGTTCGAATTCTTTTTTACGAACGCGACGCGCACGACTGGCCTGGTACGCCATCTATGATCGAAGTTGATAAGTACGAATTGTATCGGCGGATAGAGCTTTTTTGGATTTTTTTCTCATTAAAAGCTCCGTTTGGGTGTCTTTAGATAGATAGCCGATTGATTTTATAGGATTGGACCGATTTCAAGATGTTTTATTTTTAATTTAACCAAATGACTATGAAAAACTTTCAACGCGTCTTTCTCGATGTAACATTTTACGACGCTAATGGACAAAAATCTCGAGAAGTTATCGAACGAATTGAGCTGAAATTTTTACCAAAGCTTCATAAAACACTTTTATGTGAGAACCTCTGCTATTTTTTTTTTTTTTTTTTTTTTAATTTATTATTCTAATTTGTATGAAAAATGTTGTCGGTGACATGTTTTGGAAAAAATCGAACATCTTGTTTCAATTTTTATTTTTTTACTAAAATTCTACGTGGCTCAATAAAAAAATCTTCAACTTAAAAGGATGTTCTTTTTTTTTTGGTTCTAGGTGTCACTAATACCCAAAAATAGTATCCATTAGTAAAAAAAAAATCGATATTTTCATCATTTTGTAATGACAATAAATAAAAAATAATATCTTTGAGTACTTTAAGACACGTACCATTCAAAAAAGTTGCAAAAAAGTTCCTAGAGTGGCGGTACTCCTCAATATGTATCATAACAACAAAACGTTTATTTCTGTAAAATTTTTTCATCGAGTAAGTACGGTTACAATCTCCATCGTACATTTAACAATCTATAAATATAAACGATTCGAAGTTACAGTGTCCCTAACATCATTCACAAAAAATATCGCACAATACAACGTATACGTTCGTAGCGTCAAAACAAAATTATTTAATTTTTAATATCCGCGACGTGCGCGGGTTAACAAATATATCTACAACAGAAAATTATATCTATGTACAATTTACGAATCTACATCATCGTCCGTCAACGCTTCCTCGCCTCGAACGCGATCTTCCAGACCTGAAATATAAAGTCGTCCGGGAAGTCGTAGGCGTCGGGCATCGTGCTGTCGATCGCCTTGGCCAGATCCATGCTGTTGATCTTGTTCTGGGCGATGTCCCACAATCTCCCTGCCAGCACGTAATCGCTTATGCCCAGATGATCCTCCAGCGCCTGATTCACCTGCTCGATCCTCTCCAACAGACTCGCGGCGTCCGTGTTCACCTCCTCGATGCGCGCGAAGCCGTCCGCCTTGAAGCGCAGCGTGCACTTGCTGCCGTACAGGTGTGCCAGCGAGTACAGATTCGCGAGATTGGCTCGGCTGCGTGGGCCAGCCGCGGCCGAAGTTCTGGGTCCGATGAGAGCGAAACCCTGTGAGCGACCGAGCGGCTCGACCAGACGCAGCAGCAGACTCGAGCCGCGTGGTATCTGCTTGAGGAGTTTGGCCACCTCGAAGTGCTTGCGACCCACGAGGCTGCGACCGTTGAGCTTCTCCAGGTGATCGCCCACCTGGACGACGCGCAGACGATCCATGATGGAGTTGGGCCTGATGCGCTTGACGAAGACGCAGCCCTGGCCGTTGTCCGCGAGAGTCAGGCCGAGCGTCTGCTCGGTCTTGACCAGCTCGATCTCCTTGGCGCGGCCTGCGTGTGCGGGAGAGAGAAATTATCGTTACTTTATATTGAGTTACGGTCGGCGCGCGAAATGATGATGGTAATTTTCCGGGTTTTTTTTTTCTATTATACGTAAAAAGAAAATAAAACTGTACTCGTTGCGTTTACGTTATTATTGTATATATACGCGATGCGTGGGTGGAATATGGGGGGGATATTATATAATATACCTTTGACGTGGACGAATATGAAGTCGTTCAAGCCGATCTCGCCGCTGACCACTTGGCTCATCTCGGTCTTGTGCGTGTTGAGCGTGCAGTACAGTATCTGAGAGAAAAAGAACAACGAGATGAAATTACGGTCACGCGTACATTGTTTTATGATTTTTTTCCAAGTATAAAATTACAAATGGACAGAGAAAATACATTTTAAGGATTGAGTTTTTGAATTCTTGTTCTCCCCGGAGAAGTTGCTCTTAACTTTGAGGACATTTCATTTGAATGTTTACATCATCTTATACGTGGTTAAAATTTTTAAGTGCTGAATTATGGTGTTTCGAGAGCTTTGCTCTGTATCGAGAATCATAAGTCATAGACCTGCGTAATTTTAATTTATGTACTCGATGTCAAAATGTGTGCACGATAATTATGTCTAGTCTAGAATGTGGAATAAATAATAGAATCGAAATCGTTTTTATTTCAATACTCCATTGATTTGGAAAAATGTATTCAAGCCGTAATGTTTACAATTTTCATGACTCATAACTGATACATCGACTGTAAATCAGTTACAAATATTTCAATGCCTTCGAACTTTATGATTGACGTATTTGGCTATGCGTCCTGGAGACTTATTTAACCGTATGGGCATCTCGATGAACGACACGATTTACTAATTTTTGGGCTTCTTCGTGCCGGCGTTTACACTTCGACCGCACCCATTAATGGGGCTGACAATCTACTTCGGTGCAACGTGCATGGCAAATTTTACATTCGCATACTTCATCTTCCTCCAGTATCCCGTCCATAATTGCCGATGGGCCGAGCGAGTTTCAATGCTACTGAATATTATAGGGTGATTGTGTAATTGATTCATCAATTTTCATACTCACTCGAGTACAGTCGCGATCGCGCGAGAAGTCGGTCTCTTACTCGACGACATCGAAAATTTTCGAGACCCACACGATCCTAACGAACGTCGTGCGTAACCAGTATCGCGTGCTTGTGTTTACATTTTTGGATTGAAAAATTAGGTCAAACTTCTGGCTCGTGAGAAAAATATCATGCGACTAATTTGGTCTAGTTCGTTTTTAAGCTGTACCAAAAATGATTTTATGGAGCTTTTACGAAAAAAAAAAGGTTCCGATACGTGTGCCTGTCCGTGATATGCGTTTATTTAATGAACGTTGAAAATAATTCTAAATTCTATGCGAGAGCTGTATAGAACAAGAAACTTTCTAACTGAAAATAAATGTCCTTCAAGCCAATAATACATAGTACAAGATACTGCACGCATGTGTATGAAATAGTACGACACTCCTTTCAAAAAAGCAATTTTTTTCACTGGGACATTCGTGAAATCATCCAAAACGATTTGGCTATTTTCCCGTTCGTTCCGAAACGTGCGATCGAATTTTTCAAATCCATCATTCGCACCTCGACGCGGTAGAAAAAGTGGATCCAAGATAGCATTCCGATCTCTCAACCGATTTTCGAGAATCCGTCGTATATACATCCACCCAGTCTCTTTTTTTTCCAGGCAGCAGCGGTTTCGTACACGCGATACATATAATACAGTATACACGTATAACGTAACGATCGGTAAAACGGTGGCGAGCTATTATTCGGAATGCCCCGCGCGCTCTCTTTATAATTGCCGATCGCCGCGCGCGGTACAGCAGTAGTGCCACTCTATATACGCGTAACGTATACCATTTTTACGCATAAAACGTCTCGTCTGCGAGTGTGATATAAAATATAGACGCGTATATAATAATACAAGAAAACTCGCCTCGTTCTTTCATTTCGTTTCATTTTTTTTTTTTTATTTAAGTATTTTTACGCGCAGCGACCGCAGCGAGGAATTTCGAGCCCGCGACGACGACGTTCATTAAAAAGCTATTAAAAGCGAGAGAAACAAAAAATAGCACACACAGAGCTGGTGTAATAAATATAATCGCGCGGACGGACGGATCGTAATCGATGAATTGTAAATCAATCCTCTCCCTCCCTCTCCACGGAAGGATTCATGGCCCTCCCAAGTAAAAAAAAAAAAAAACGAGAGAGGAAAAATATTTTAAAGACGCGACGCGGATAATGCCGCGTGCAAATTGTCATCGTCGTCGTCGGCGTAGTATAATATTATAATACCGTAACATCTCTCTCTCTCTCTCTCTCTCTCGATGCGGCAGTATATATATAGCATAGAGGAATGTCAATGTACGCGCTCGATCGTGAAAAGAAAAAAAAAAAAGGAAGGAACGAGCGCGAATGAAAGAAAAGAGGCCGCACCCAAATAGCAGTTGACAATCGATGCCTGCCTGCCTGCCTGCCTGTATCGGGGATCTATATACCGTCGTTATTATTATCGTTATTATTCGTACGCATATACGCATTATATATTTAAATCGCTCTCACATCTTCGGGCCTTATGTGAAAAGCCTGGGCTATCTTGAAGTAGAGCTCGCGCAGACAATGAAAGTCCTGGACGACGGCGGTCGGGCTGCCATGCGCCAATTGACAGTAGAACGGCACGTGTTGCTGCTGCTGCTGCTGCTGTGACTGCCGATGTTCATCTCCGAAGCTACTGCTGCTGCCGTTCGTCCTGTTGCTGTTGCTGTTGTTGGGCGTGGACTGCGGCAGCAACGGCTCCTGCTGCGGCTCGGCTATCTGCGGCTCGTAGTAGTCGTTGCAGTTGTTGTTGCTGTACGTGGAGTATCGATGATGATGATGATGATGATGATGATGATGATCGCTTGTTTCGATCGGTGTCGTCGCCGTACAGGATTCCTCTTTTCTACTGTTGTTGTTGTTGTTGTTTTTTTGTTTAGTCAAACGATTCAGACCGGCGGACGCGCTGACTTTCAGCGACTTGAAGAACGACATCCTTTTCTTTTCTTTTCTTTTTCTATAAAAAATCAAAAGCGATACACGCGAGGATGTATTTATGAATCAATGATCTCAACAAATTCATATAAAAATTAATTATAATACGCGCGGAATCTTTCGCGATGATTCATCCGCACGCACGTTTTTATGTATATCGACTATATTATGATGTTTTCAGCAAATGATCTCCGTCGTATTATTATTCGCTCTGTAAGGATTAACGGCCCACCTGCGTAGTATACTTTCTTTTTAAAAGCATTATTATTTATTTATTTATTTTTTTTTTACTATCCCTCTAAATCCCATTAACGATTAAGACGATTTATAAAATGCCGATCGCCGTATTGGAAACATCGGCGTGTATACACATAGACGCGAACTTTCTCTCCTTATTCGAGAAATAAAAAAAAACAACAAACGATTTTCCTATATACTTCTATATCGCAATGCAACGGCTATACACATTTTTGTAAAGTACACTCGTTTAACGAAATGTCTCGTTATAGAAGCGATATTTTTTTTTATATACCGATCGCGGAGAAAGCATTCGATACGAACACACGTGGGTCGTAATCTTGCGGGCTTTAGGATTATTATTAATAACATCGAAACATACTTATATATGTATATATATGATATGCAGCGGAAAACTCACACTCACCTGTGCGTATATAATATCTCGCTTATGCGCGACTGTATACAGCGCTGCGCTGCACTTATGCAATTAACATTCCAGAATCCTGCGCCGCGGTCCGCCCCGCTGCCGATTTCTTCTTCTCGTTGTATTATATATATATAAAACGCAGGGCGCAAAATTCAAATAAACACACACACGCACACTAGTCTCGAGAGCCCTTTACTCGCTACCGATTTTCACGTATACACGCGCGCACAGTTGAGGTACGATAATTTTATTATTAGGATTTATAATACACGTATACGCGCAACGACGCGCGTTACATGTGCATAGGCTTTTTTTTTTCTTCTTCTCGTCGTCGTCGCGGTGCGCGGAAAAACATCCGTTGCGCCGAGCGTCAAACTCCGCGACTGACTATGTACAGTCGCGAGGAGGCGAGTCGTCTCTTCGGCATGCCGCGAAGAGAGAGAGAGAGAGAGAAGAGTTCGCGCGCTCCTCTCTCGCGGGGCTACGGGGCAACGCACACACACACACACTCATACACACGTAAGAGCGACTAGCCTTGGATGATCGGTTATATATTATATACTTGTGTGTGAGTGTAGCGTAAAAGAGAGAGAGAGAACCGGTGAGTTGCACCTCTCTCTCCGTTTTTTCTTTTTTTCATTACTAGTTGCGCCGCGAGAGACGGGCGCGGAAAATGCGATGCGTGTGCGCGGATGTATACTACGACGGGAGGATAGAGGACATGGCTATACAGGCTGTACAATTGATTTTGTCCAATTTTCGCATGTGATAAAATTTTCTCTTTATTTATTGCGGTTTATCGTATATAAGATTGATTATTGCGAGTTTCGATATTACAAGAGAGTACAAAAAGGAGATTCGTGAAATACTGATAAAAATTTTTCTTCTCGTATATAACAGAGATACATACAAATATAAGCGCTGATCGATGTAAATATATCCCTTCTTCTTCTTCTTTTTACTATCCGTAGAGACTAACACATATATCGTACATAGAACTATAACGAAGTTTCTTTTATTTTATTATTGTTTTTGCGTTTTCGCGTATAAAAAAATTATCGTTTATTATCGTCCGTCCGTTTAGCAACAAGCTGCCTCCTGTGTGTGTGTGCCGTGTATAGGTGTGTCTTATTTTTTTTTTTTTTATATATAATATATGTATAGCAGGTGCACACAAGTGTATAGCTTTTGCAATTATCAACAGTTTATAAATATATCTATTGTACAACTAATTAACAACATTTTTTTTCGACTCTTCCGCGAGCGAGAGGCGTGATTCGAATGAAAAACAAGGATAAAACTTTGTAACGCGTATACACATACGCACCACGCAAACAAACAAACAAACATACACGCTCGCACGTATACCTTTAAAGCTATTACAGATAGACAGTTATATATGCATATAATTAGCACTGAACGCTATGAACTGGATCGTGTTACATCGAGAAAACTTGTATGCATACCGTGTGTGATGTATGGTTTTTTTTTTATCTTTTCTTATAAAAAAAAAAAAATAATAAATGGCACAGCAAATAATATCTAGATATTTATGTACATTTATACTTGTGTAACATCTTACTTGTGTATATTAAAATTAGCTAAGATTTGTATACATATAAATATTTTTATATATTGTTTATATAAGTTTCCGTAAAAAAAAAAGGTAGCTGCGCTATGCCACAACTACCAGTCCTTATTTTGATTATTATTTTCCTTTCCATTGATTGGAAATTTTAGAATCACAGTAAAAATTTCATTATTATTGCAAAGCTGTATTTAAACACCTCGTGCTTCCATAACAAACCAGCTAATAAAACATTTTGTATCAAGCTTGCACCGTAGCCAATACTTATAGCCGTTTTGATCAAAGTACTATTTTAAAGTGCCATAATTCGTGACTAAACTAGCTTGATGAATTGTAGCACCAACAATCACCCATAACAGTTCTCGTCGAAGAGATTATAATCTAATTTGAATTAAAAATTTTCCTAACTCATGAACACATCCTTTTAAAGTTATAAGAAATTCTCTCTGCTTAAATGTAATTCAGGCTGCACGATAAAAGCTCTCCAAACCTTGCCGCAATTAGAGCTATTACCCAGCAGCAAGTAATTCCTCATTGGTATTAGTAAGTTTTCGTATGGATCTGTATTTATTTGATATTCTTGCATGGCAGTGTAAACAGCTTTGAAAGGTGGTTGCTTATCGGAATGGAATGTACTTCTAGATCCATGAAGTACCAGAGCACCTTCTTTGGTAGCTCCAGCGCATACAGACATGTACATGCAGTGATCAGGTCTGTAATTATATCTACAAGAATATACCAGAAGTCTCTCTGGGTGAAAATGGAAGATTATATTTATGATGTCTTGGTCGCCCCAAATAATTTTCAAACGATACTGTTTGTGTATTGGGATAACATATTCCGTCCATTTAAATTCTCTCATTCTAGTGAGATTCATAAGCATTACACCTGAATTTAATCCTAATTTTCCATAGTAAGGATGCTTTGCAAATCTATTGTACCAGCCTGTATTTGGTTCCTCGTGTTCTGGACTCAGTGCAGCTAGCTGAGTACTATTCATCTTTTTAAATTCATCCCATATTACTTCTGGTGGAGTCAAGAAAAGAGTATCGGTGTCCACGTACAGCACAGCGTCGGTATCATTCAATACAGTCTGAAAGTAAGAAAACATTGTCTCAAAATTTGTCATCCACTGAAAGAGCAGCAGATAGATGGGAAATTTACTCACAGGAAGAAAGAGTCTTTGAGCGGCGCACGGCTTGAACAGTTTTCTCCACATGTTGACATCCGTGTTCTCTGGGAATGTCACGGGTCTGACGATAAAGTCGAACGTCTTGTTCGCAATCTGCTTCCACTCGGTGAGCTTTTCGTGAAACGCAGGTATGAGGCCGTAATCGGAGATCACCACGAATTTCAGGGGTCTCTTGGTGAAAACCAGGGCGGATTTGAGCATGGTGAGCGACTCGTCGAGCCTGTCATTGCCGCAGGCCACGACGCATATGACAACTTCGCCCTCCGCTCTACCGCTGGTTGATTTTTTCAACGCCTCGTGCCTCGGCTGCGACGACGACGACGATCTCTTGCCGTGGTGTGGAAAATTTTCACCGGGCACCCTCATCGACGATAAAAAAGACAGGATATTGTCGTTCATCTGATAGCTGGCCATCAGCGCGATTATTGCCAAAAAGGCGATCACGAATAGTAAATAACGGTTTATCCACTTCATCTTCGTGGCTCTCTCATTTCTGGTCGATTGGAGATTTTCCGTCGTTGTTGCCCCACGACTCGGGGCATACACCAAACACTAAATACTACGGGGCTATCTAACGATAAGCCAACGAGAAAAAAAAGCAGCTTCTGTTTATCAAAACATAGATCCTAACCTACGGTAAAAATTTGACGTTTAACGAGCAGAGCTGCTCTGCTCTGCAGGCCTCCGTGTGTTGTTGAATAGGATAAAAAAGTCAGCGACGATCGCGCCGCCCTGGCGGTCGGGACTGGACACTCGTCTACACGACCGTTGTCTCGTTTTCAAGTTACCGCAACGAGAAAGTGAAAGTATTTTTTTTTTTTTTTTTTTTCTAGAAACTATTCGCACTTGGAAACTATTTTCTAAAAAAAAAGCCATTGAGAACTTCGTTTACTGGAAGCATTAGAGGATTATCCTCGAATGTCTCTCTGCTTTCGCCCGTAAATTATCGACTGCTGCCCCGATTCTCGATGTCGTCGTATCTCATTATCGCTGCTTGGGTATCGAGTATTCGTGCTTTACGATGAGTTACGTATTTGACAAGTATATACACATAAATTAAAGAGACAAAACAAGACAATGAGCTTTTTTTTCCACACATCCATTTTTATTGACTGAAACTACACAGTAGTTCATAGTTATCATTTTTCAAAAGTTGGAAGATACAAAAAGTAAAAAAAAAAAAAAACAGTAGTTTTGGAAAAGTGTTTTCAATTAACTTTGAGTTTACGATTGTGTAAAGCACATTTTGTTTTTTTGAAAAAAAAAGTGATGAAATATAAATTTCAAAATTAAACAGGAATGAATGATGAACAAACTCCAAATGTTGTTGATATTGAAGCTCAATTAGATGGAAGGTATTAGTCAATTAGCCGAGTACACACACCGAGACAATCGTTGCATTCTCAGCTAGTTGACTAATCCTTCCTTTAACGATAGAAATAGTTAATTTAATGTTGTTGTTGTTGTTGTTTTGTTGTTGTTGCTGCTGCTGCTTAGTTGCTGCTGCTTAATCGTTGCTGTTGTTAATTTACAGCTGACCGCAGTCGGCGACGACGATCTTCTTCGAGGTCTTGCCGCTCTGCGAGCCGTAGCTCTCGAGCTTCTTCACAACATCCATGCCGTCGACGACGTTGCCGAAGACGACGTGCTTGCCGTCGAGCCACGAGGTCTTCACGGTGGTGATGAAGAACTGGCTGCCGTTGGTGTTGGCGCCGGCGTTGGCCATCGACATCACACCGGGGCCGGTGTGCTTCAGGTCGAAGTTCTCGTCGTCGAATTTGCCGCCGTAGATGGACTTGCCGCCGGTGCCGTTGTGATTGGTGAAGTCGCCGCCCTGGCACATGAAGTTGGGGATGACGCGGTGGAAGCTGCTGCCCTTGTAGCCGAAGCCCTTCTCGCCGGTGCAGAGGGCGCGGAAGTTCTCCGCGGTCCTGGGCACGACGTCGCTGCGCAGCTCCATGACGATGCGGCCGACCGACTGGCCGTCGGCGGTCATGTCGAAGTACACACGTGGTAGGCTCATGTTGCTTTGTTTATTATCTTCTCAAAGGAAGTTTCTGGAAACAGGAAGGAGAGAAAAGAAAAATACGTTAGTCGATTGTCATTCGTGAATACACCAACGAAAAAAAGGGGGGGTTGCAATGAGTCGGACGAAAACAATCGCGTACACCTGGCGCGCGAACGGAATCTTTTTACACCGCCACGCGCGGAACTTCTCTCGGGAGTTTTTCATTATTATTATAAAATTAAAGTCCTTCAAGGTCTACCGGCCGGCTGAAGCTGGCAGCAAAGCTACAACGGATCACCCACGCGCACACGTATATACCCACCCAAGAAGTCGATGTGGATTGATGTACAACAGCGTCGTCGTTGCGCTTCGAGAATACACCGTCTGTCTGCGCGCAATGCTTTTTCTCAACTCGTGGAAGCAAGCGCATATATATCGGCGCAACCGCGGCGGCATGTAAAACGCGCGCACACACGCACACGCATACAGGCCGGGTATATTCATATTGGTATTAGTGTAGTACGCGCGGGTAAACCACTATATACACACAGTCGGAGGATGTCGAAAACCCCGAGGCGGGCGGGCGGGGGGGTTCTCTCTCTCGCTCGCACGCACACACACACACACATTCTTATATACAGTATATACATCGATAAACGGAGGATGTGGAAAATTCCATCGGCTGCGGATAGATATGTTTGTGCGTCGGCCGTGCGCCTAATATGCCGCTGCTGCTCTACTCCGAGAAATCGTCGTCGTCGTGTATTATATAGCGCGCGTATTATAATATACGAAACGGGCGAAAAGAGGCTCTCTCTCAGCGGCGTCGTGAGTCGTCGTCGTCGGCCATCATTGCCGAGCGAGTAAAAGAGAGAGACGGAGAGAGAAAAAACGCGCGGCATAAATATACGCACTCATGTACGTGTATAAATACACACACGCGCAGACTTGAACACGCGAGCAACGATGCAAAATCTAGGATGAAATTAAATGCACAACACGCGAAGATGACGAAGATGCAGACGAACACGTACACAAGGAGACCGCGTGCTCTCGCGTATATACTCGTGATCAAGACGACGAAGATGATGATTCGTTATTAGCAAACACACACGCACGCGCTTGGTTATGATACGTGTGTACAGACAGACACAGACACACACACAACGTCGTCGTCGTCGTCGGCTGCGACGATGATATTCCCGATTCAGTAAATTAATATCGATGAAGGTTATTTAAAAGGACTGCGAAGGTTGGAAAATTTTTTCAATCCCGCACGACGACGACGACGACGAGTCACAACCCCCCCGCACCTCCCTTATTACCACAGTCGCGCGAACACACACATGCTATTCAGCCTCTCTCTCTCTCTCTCGCGGCGCGTGAGTTGCTCTCCTCGTCGGCGTTGTGTACAAGGAAAATTTCGCGATTTCGGGGCGAACGGATAAAAAGAATAAAATGAAATTAAAACTACACACTTCGCGAGTCGCGCGCGGGTCGTGTCCATCGTACGCGGTGCAAAATGCCGCGCAACGACGAGGAAAAGAACCGTACACTATAACGCATAACGCAAATATATATAATGAATTGTATATTAGAGAGAATGGAGATATGTACCTATTGTTTTTTTAACTGAGAGACGATGTGGACTCGCCGGTTGCTCGTGCGAAAGTAAAGTGCGCTCGCCGGTAAGTGCAGACTTCTCCTACTACCATCATCGCGGCGCGCACACACACACACACATACGAGTATACGGGGATGTGTATATTGTGTAGCATCGTGGTGGTGGTGGTGTACGCCAGTGGCCAAATATGGAGGGCGTCGCGGCGGCGGCGGCGAACAGTCGAGGCGCAGCAGCAGCTGCACACACGGATACACACGCACACAGACACACGTGTATTATAGGCGCGCCACACAGCAGCAGCAGAAGCAGCGGTGCCGGCTAGACACACACGATGTTGCTCTGTTTCGCCATGTTTCGCGCCGCGCGATGTTCCTCCGAGAGAGAGAGAGAGAGAGAGAGAGGATACGTGTCTTGATTTTATACACGAAAATGACGATCGTTACACGCGATGCGTGTTATGTGCAATGATCTAGGACTTATGCGGATCGATGCAATCGTTAAGGGAGGCATTCATCGTGTCGCCTCTCGAGATAGTGCGGCGAGCGGAGCACCGGCACGCGCGGGGTTGAGATTTGACGATTCGAAATATTTTTTGAAACAGCGCAGTACCCCGCAACTGACTCGATACGAGTCAGGCGTACGCGATCGAAGGTTTTTCTTTTCTTTTTTTTTTTGATGATGAACAGATGGGGAAATCGGTACCGCGCGCATACACAGTGGTGACCGATACGTGTGTGTGTGTGTGTGTCCTATACCGATGTATCAGAACGTTTTTTATTCTGTGATGACCGCACATGCGCGCGCAAACACGAGAACCCGCTCGCGCCTCTTTTTAATAATAACGCGATCCGAAATTGAGAAGTTCCCCCGTCCAACCACCATTGAAAGGTTCGTTACTGCTTTTCATGCATAGTATTATTTGGAATTTCGATCATTCAATTTTTCACCTGCATAAGAAGTAAATCTTTCATTGCGATTTGATCGTTGAGGCACGGCACTGAGTCCGAATATTAAATCGCGTGTAGGATTGTCAATTTCAAAGACACATAGGTACAACTGATTGGGATCTTTTTTTTTTTAATCTCGAGGAAATTCTTCATGGGTTAACTATTTACGAGATATATACGTAAAATGTGCGAGAAACGCCTTTTTGAAAATGTTCAGCTCGTTTTAAAAAAAGTCCCAATTATTTATTATTCGAAAGTACTTATAAAAAGGAAGAATCTGTGAAATTTCGAGTCACTAAGATGATCGTTTTTAGACCTACCTTGAAATATTTCGATAAAAAAGTTACATGTCAAGAAATATCGAATGAAGATTCGGCTAAATTTTCACGAGTGCCAAAGCTAAATATTCCGAGCAATACGCGAGTTCGTCATACATTTTCAAAGTTAGAAGGAAATTAGTCATAAATATTCAATCAACAGTCTACTGCAGACTTCGTAAAATAATTTAACTTCAATTAAAATCAATATTATTCTCAAAAATGAATCCCAAGGCACACTGGATTAAACTAATTATATTGGCGAATTTCATCATTGTGTACCAAGACATTTGGTGACTCGTGACTCGTGTAGATTCTTTGCGTTAGTTCAGTTAGTTTTTATCGTTGAAAAAAAAGATGGAAATAAAAGAAAATTTTAATCTTAACAAGAAAAAATTATTTTAGTTTAACGATAAATCTCAAACGCGATGGAAGGTTCAGAAATCGATTTTTCTTTGATTTTAACTGGTTTTGCCTGATCTTCGATGCTTCAATCAAATCACGATTATACAAGAATGGATAATTCTATCAATATTAACAATTTACAGCTTTTTATCTATCCGTCGAGAGTTGTATACTTTTCGAGCAAAGTTATAATAGACTTTAGGTGTAGTTTTTCGAAACTTTTTTTTCGTTCATATGACAGCATAATTGTTTTTTTATTCGCAATAATTCATTGGACTTTGGCTCTAGATGCATTTTTGTGCATTTTTTATATGAAATTTTTAAATAAATAATTTTATTTTTTGAAATAAAAGTTTTTTTTTAATAATTTTTTTTGAAATAAAACGTTTATTTTCAAATGAAATAATTTTTTAATAAAAAAAAAAGTTTTTGAAGGTTTTGTTATAGTCGAATACTTAAAATAAACATGAAAATAAGAAAAAAAAATTAAAATGTTTTCAACCCTCATTTCTGAAGGGACCTTTCATCCCTTATCGTGAGCCCGATGTTTTTTCTTTTTTCCAGGTGAAAATGTTTAAGAAAATTCATATCCCATACGTGTGCCATGAAAAAATTTCTACTTATTTTTTTGCCCTAAAACTAAAAGTTTCAGAGAATTCTACATATTTGTTTTTTAAAAACAACTCTTATATTCTAAACAATTATTTTATTGGTAATGATGAAGTAATCGAGCCGAAAGTTATTATTTCAAGATTTTCCATGACTTTTTCTATGGCTTTCTACGGTAAACTTGCAATTTTGAACGTTAAAGGACTAAAAAGATAACTTTTTGCATCCTGTGCTGACTCCAAAAATCTACAAAATCGAACGAAAATCTTTTTACGTACTTTCTCATCCACCGTAGTCGCATCTAAATCACGAGTGAAAGTAGACCCTAAATTTTAACGTCTCTGTATCCGATTCTATTTTTTCTCTCTTTCTCTCTCACACTCACACACATGTGCGTGTCCACGTTTTATTTACTCAATATAAGTAGCTCTCACTTCTATGTAGCTTCGCGGACGTGTTTAGACCATGGCCAGAAGTCGCTACGACGCCGCAGCGAAGAGAAAAAAAAATATCGCGACGACTGCAGCAAGTGATCGAAAGTGAAAATAGTATTAATATTATAAAGTTTAGGCTATTGTGTGTTACGTGAAAAAAGTGTGAGACGATGGGCAACGACATTAACTGTTTTAAAAAATTGAAAACTTACTACACTCCGGAGGAGGTCGGCTCGAAAGAACGAATTGAACTTCTTCGTCGATTTGGCAGTTTATGCAAGGAATTGAAAATTTATCGCAAAAAAGTCCACTGGGATATCGAAGAAGAGACAACGAAGAAGCTACTAAACGCACTTCTCGATCAACTTGACACTTTAATCCGAGAATGGCAGGGTGAATTACCAGATCTCGGCAATTTTTTTCGCCGCGAAGATATCGACTGGCTTCTCAAGCGGGCTGTGATGAACGTAAAAAATTCATTCATACATGGTAATCAAGGAAAAAGAATTATCGGCTTCGTGGCCGACACCGGCTACAAAGACAAGCCCGACCTGGATAAAAACGGCAAGCCAATTTTGCGTCGCATCACACCCGTTCATTATGCGCACAAAAGCATCTACGCTGATGTGCTTCATAAACTTTTTCAAATATTCAACAGGTTTGATGTGAACTACACCGACGAAAATGGATTGACCCATTTTCATGTGGCCTGCAAGTTTGGCTTTTTTGACATCGTCAAAAAATTCCTCGAGCTCGGCCAAGATCCTAATCCCCTATGGAAAACTACAGGCGATTCACCGCTGCATTTGGCTCTTATGAATGGCCACCCGAGGACTGCCGAATTACTGATGAGAAACGGCGCCAATTTGAATTGGGCCAACAAGGACGGAACAACTCCTTTGCATTACATTTGCGGGATATCAAACGACCCCTATGACTTAATGGAGATGTTCTTCAATATCAATGACGAATTAAATCAGGTGGTGAAGATCGACGCCCAAGACAAATTGGGCAATACACCCCTACATTGGGCCGTAGCGAAGTACAAGAATATGATTGCTGAATCACTGCTGAGAAGAGGTGCTGATCCCAATTCAGTCAATAATGAAGGATCGACTCCTTTGCATTTGATAAGTCAGAGATACAACTGTGAAGACTTTGTCAAGATGTTCTTCAAATGTAACGACGAATTACATCAGCAAGTGCAGGTCGACGTCTGGGACAGATGGGGCCGGACACCGCTGCAATTGGCTCTACTTCAAGGCAACAAGAAGACGGCCGAGATTCTGCTGAGACGAAGGGCTGATCCAAATTTGGCCAACGAGGACGGATCGACCCCTTTTCACACGATTTGTCAAAGGACCGATTATGATGCCGCTCGCCTGGTGGAGTTTTTTTTCGAGATCAACGATGAGTTAGATCAGCGGGTGCAGGTCGATGCAAAGGACAAGTGGGGTCGGACGTGGCTTCAATTGGCTGTGGCGAATCTCAAGCCGAATATCGTCGATGTGCTTTTGGATCGTGGCGCCGATCTATCCAGCTTCGTTTTTCCAATTGAAAGTAATTTTGACGAGGGCATTCGATTTATAAAAGAGCAAAGTGGGTATAAATTGACGATTGCGTCTGGTCTGATGGCCGTCGTCGAACGTCTCGAGAAAAGAGGATACGAACTGGACCGAAGCGACGTTCTGATCGTCATGAAAATGTTCGCCAAGCATGAATTGTTCGACGAGTCGGCGAATCTCGCAAAATGTCGTAGTTGGTGCGACAAAAAAACAATGGTAAATTCGAGGCTGTCGCTCTACGATCTGATCCAGTTACGACCCGGAGAGGTGTCGAAATCACTCACTTACGAGGACTGTTACAAGTTTTCGTATGATATAATGTGGATATCAGGTACAATCTATCGTATAGTTTATGAAACTCATCTAAGCGAGAAAATAAGCAGAAAATTTTTCTGGCGTTGGGCCATGGATCCTTTTATGGAGCTAATCAACTACAGGCTGCCACATCTCCCTTGTGAAATGATCATGGATAACTTGAAAAACAAAGATTTGTATCATATTTGTCTGGCGGCTTCGCGATAATGGTGAAAGTTCGGGAAATGGTGACAATACATTTCTTAAGTTTTTCATGTAATTGAAATAAATGCATTTGAAAAAAATTGAATGCATTGACTTGGACTTTTATTTCATTTTAACCTTCTCTGCACCATCAGATCTGCAACTTATCAGCGAGTGCATTTCTACCGAGATTACATTGACATTCGTACATGATTGATTTTTTTTGATCCAAAGTCATTTGGATCGGAAAATGGAAAAAAATATGTTTCTCGTAAACCTCTTTCAACCAACGAAACATGCAATATTTTACAAAATTTCTTCTTTCGTATTTTCATGTTTTTAATTAATTGCATCGCAAGATGTTTCAGTACTAATGGCTGTCTGAATACACCTAACTCAATATTTTAGATTCACTGTTTCAAATTTTTATTGAACTTTAAAAAATAATTCATTTAATTTTTCATGCATACTATTTTGTTAGTTAAAAGTTTAAACAATCAGTGACGTGAACGCTGACTATCTTATTTTACAAATAAATTTGATTTGCAACATTTTTGAATCGATTTTCCATGAAAATACTTTCCAACTTATGGTACGTTTGATTTGACATTTCGAATAAAGTATAATATTTTACGAAATTTTTGAATTATCACCTTGGTAAAATCAAAATTAAATTATTTCATTCGAAATATTATCCAAAGATACTTCGGTAAAAAAAACGTTTCTTTCCGAAAAATTCAAGGTACCTACGCACCTTTTTTATTCTTTCGTTTTGGATGTGCGATCAATCAATGAGGGATGCAAGGGACCATTATAGGCCCTCGCCGGGCCCCGAAACTTGTTAACGCGTATTAGCCACACACTTGAAATACAATTATTTTTACTCGACACTTTCAATATTTGAATTATTTATTTATTTTTTTATTATGTTCATAATAAATGAAGTAATTTTCAAAAATTTATGTTGTAGTTATGTAAGCAGAACAGTCGAGCTTCAATTGAATATTTAATATTTGTTTATCAATAATCTCATAAACCATTTAGTTCAGAGTAAAGGTTTACGGAACGAAATCGTCTTAAAATTGTTTGAGAAATATCCTTTTCCGAGACAATTTTTCAATTTCTCGGAAATATGGGAAAAACGTTTTTCCAAAATCACTTCCAAAATCTGAAATAGTTTGTGGTTATTTCTTGATCGATTCTGAGACTTTTTTGTTCCATAAACTTATTTCCTAAACTCAATATTTTTCATCTTAAGCACAGTCCTCGTGAAGACATTTCACATGCATATAGTAACTCCATAAAAAGTGATAATGCACTCGAAAATTTAAATGAAAAACTAATTCTAAATTGGCTTTTTGCAATTTTTTCATCGCATATCGTTAACACAGTCGCACTTTTAAACATCAACAATGGAGAACACCCTCACGCACATATAAGACTCGTTTCGATTGAGACGCGATCAGAGCGAATAGCCGAACGTTCGAAATGACTCGTCCAATGGTTTAATTCGATTTTCGATCACTCCACTACTCGAATTATCAATCGCTTTCTGAAATGAGGTTTGATTCTGTGCGGCCGATCGCAGCGCGTGCAGTTGCACACGCATATATGTCAAGACAGCTCCGAGACTCCGCTCGAGATCTGTGTGCGTATTAAAGTCGCTACGATGCTCAATGTAACTATACACTCATGAGAGAGAGAGAGAAGGATGAAATGTCGTCATGCGATATATCTTTTTTTTACAAATGTGTTTACGTTCGCGCGCGCGACTACGACCATCGCGATTATCTCTCTCATACTCAGCGCAGCATATGTCTTCTGCTACATCATCCATATAGGCGTCCGCAATGTAGACCAAGAGAGGCGGCAGAAGAGACGGAGCTTCTTTATACGATCCGGTTTGTGCGTGTGTGTGTGTGTGTTGTGCCGAATGCCGAACTGCCGATATCCCAAACGATACGTTTTTTCGTTACGCACATGCGTGTAATGTATAGCAGATATACGGCGTGAATCGAACGCGCGCGCCTATATTTCCCGGGCCGGCCTCGGAAATCGAAGAGCCCCCGACTTTTGAATCGTAACGACACGGCCAGGTATATTTGCGCGGCACCGCAGACGAGTTTCCGTAAACAATAATATGTCGCGATAGACATTGTCGGTAATTCGCGCCGCGCCGCTGCCGCTGCCGCTGCTGCTGTTGCTGCTGCTTTGTGCTGCGAATATTATAACGCGTATGTGTACACATACGCAAGAGCGAGAAAGAGAGTGCCTGACATTGAGCGGCGAAGTGTAATCGCGCGCGTACAGAAGCAATGAAATCGTCTCCTGCCTGTGTGATCGTTTAACGTTGTGTGCGGTGCGTGTGTGCGTGAGCGCGCTCGACTTGTCAACAATATTATAATAATAAACGCGTACGACGATCGCCGAAAATTTCTTCACAACAACGTCGTGCTCCCATGATTCTCCGAGACCGGTGTAACAGTTGGGCGATGTGCGGTGGTGCTCATTGGACGCTCAACGGCTACACGTGACGGGCGACCGAAATTTTTCATAACTCTCCCTCGCTGTCTCGAGAAGTAACAAAGTCGAAAAGAAAAAAGAAAATGTCGCCGATAAGCGTGATTTTTACGCTCTTGTGCCTCTATCACGGCCTGCCCACCGCTTATTCTTGTAATGTGAGTTGATTTTTCTTTCTTTTTCATCTCTTTCATCTCTTTCGTTTTCGAGTGTCTGAACTTCGTTAATCATGGCGATTCGCGTGTCGTTTGTGTTGCAGTATCGCTATGATTACAACTGTGCCAACCACACCACAGAAGTGAAGCCTTGCTCGAGGCATCATCTACCAGCAGCCAGTGAGGTCACATTCAGCATCATCGAGGACCACGACAGGAGTAATCACTCCAGTGAGTCCGATCGCTTTCGTGGACCTTCAGATTTTGTTCGTTTAACAAATTTTAAAGGCATGTGTCTTCGTTTCAGGTATCGTCGTGGTGGAATTTCCTACTCCCAGTGAAAACTGCGAGCTTGAAGTACAACTGTACGTTGCCCCTGGAATAAATGACGAGGAGGCTTGCATGGATTATACTTTCAGCATGAGAGATTCTCATCCACATACAAGTTCAAAGTATATTTGTCCTGAAAACAAGCAGCGTCCAAGTACTAACTCATCTTGTGTGGTAACTAAACTTTGCTGGATTATATTATCTAAATTATTGAATGAATATTTTGAATGCATTAATTGAATATGAAATCAACTTCTTTACAGAGAGAAAATGCTGAAGTCTGGTACAATCACGTGTACACAGGGTGTTATTCATTTGTTTTCATAGCTGATAAGAGTTATTACGAGTTTCGAAAAAAGGCATTTTTAGAAACGACTTACAAAAAGACTGAAGTTGTCACTCCTATGGTTAGCTGCAACGTTCAATCGACATTCAATGAAACTCACAAAGAGTAAGTACCACTATTACAGTTCAAATATACTTGTAAATTAATACAATTTTACACTTGATTCGTTTCAAATTATTTCTTTGCAGATTTGAGATTGCTGAGGTAACTGCAACCATTTCTTTGGTATTTGGATCACCTTTTGCAAAGCTAGCTGTTGTCAGAGCTGAGGACAATAGCACATGCAGAGGAGATACTATAGTACAAGAGATCCATGACTTGCTCCCAGTGGTAATAAAAGTGAATTTAATAATCTAACGTAATTATTGAAAATAAATTTATAATGAAATCTCAATTTCAGCCATTTGAAATGGACCAATCATGCAGCATGGAAACGGTGAGATATCAACAATTTTAATTGTTACCCTTTAATCAATGTAAATGACATTTTTTTCAATTACAGCGTTCGATGCTTGAGAACGGCACGAGATTTCAGAATCTTTACTGCAGGTTTCCAGTTGGGAACAATCCTGTAGATTCTAACTACTGCTTCTACATGACACTCCACGATGCTCGTTGCAGCGTCAACACCATTTGGCGACCACCGGGTGACCCTATGTACCCATGCAACTGGTCCCTAAGTAAGTCTTGTAAAAAATACACAGCATGCCACTGGCTAAAACCAAACTTTACCCTCTGATTTCATTCATGATATTTTTTTTGGCCTGTTTCAGAGTGCAGCAGAGGAGGCGACAGAGACATCAAAAACACCACGGCTACTTTGCGCATACCCCCCAAAGACAACAGCTTTTGGAGCCGATTCGCAGAGACCCTCCACATGAAGTTTCCATTTGAGAATAACAAAACAATGTCCTCGAACAACGTCAATTTCGAGAAGACCCCGCCACCGCCTCGCGCCAAGTTTTACTTCGCCACTGTAGTCGTGCTGGCGCTCATCGGATCGTTCACGATCTGCTGCCTCCTGGTCGCCGCCGTGTACTTTCTCTATCGACGCTATTCATTGAGAAAGTGCCACCGCGCCGACGACGAGGCTCCGGCGTCTCCCGCAGCCGACGGCGACAACGTGGAAATGCAACCGCTTGGTCAGGAACAGGCGGCCGACCGCAGAGACATCATGCTGATGTACGTCAAGGACGATCAGCAATTCATGGGGGAGATGACGAATCTGCAGAGGCAGCTCCAAGGTCGCACCGGAGCCAGTGTAAGCGTTGAGCGATATTATTTACCACGATATTATTTAACGAACGAAGCTCGATTAACGAAACAAACCCTGTAATTCGCAGGTTTACTCTTGGTGGACGCCGAGCGTCTTTCAGAACGTCTCCGCCGAGGGAGCTTACGAGTGGGCCACCGCGAGAATCTCGCGAGGATGCCGAGTCGTATGGTTCGACACGAAGAAGGCGCGCGAACTTCTGACCTCGGTCGTGGAGGGTACTCCGGTGTACGCGGATCATCGAGACGAGAACTTCAACAGGGTTCTTCAGCACGTCGTACGTACCAAGGATCCCAATACCGAGTATCACGTTCATCACGTTGCCAGGTTCGTAGCTCGATAATGCCAAAAGAGTTTTGCGTATTTATTGAACTATTCTTGCAAAGCATCGATCTTAACTTCCTACACGTTTCGACTTTGATATAGATTCACGAAACCAGCGTATGCTGTGCCAGATACTAACGATATCAATGATCCCTTCTCGGAGATAGCTGTAAATACCAGGTACATACTGCCCCAAGGAATGGAAAACCTCGTTAAAAGTTTGCGTACGTATTACATTTGTTTTTTTTTTTTTTTTTTTTTTCATTAAAATGCTTTATTCTATCCTTACGTTTTGATTATTATTGTTTTTCAGGTTCGGAATAGACATTACCAGTCGATCGAACATTTGTACATATTCCCAACCCAAGTAAGACAGAACGGAATTTTCCGGATAATAAAAAAAAAAAACAGATCTTGAAGCTCAACTGTGAATATTATAGACAATCATCGCATTGCTTGCGATTATATTTTTTGCATTAATGTTAAATTGTAGCCATATACTTATTTTGTAAACAAAAGTTGTTAGAGTATATATTTTTTTCGTGCTCTATCTAGTCAAAAAATTGCTACATCAATTTTAATTAAGAATGACCTGATATGATTGTCACTTTGTAATATAAATTCGAGAGAGACACGAATAATTTTGTGTGCCTTGAAGTGAAAGAAAAATATCAAAAATCACATATTTGTTAACTTTGATTTCGCCTCAAGTTAAAATTTCGCATATGTATTTTTGATATTCTTAATTAAGCCTCTCGAATAACGTGATATTATGTACTATAAGTTTTATAAGTGAATTTGTTTGAAAATTTCAAGTTTTATGTGAAACATTCAAACAAATCTAAGCAAATGTTTATTTCATAAGAGATGAATTTATGGTATTTACAAAGAAACTTTTTTATTTAATAAAAATATGTTGATACGCTTATAAATGGTGACATTTAAGCAATTGTAATAAAAAAAGGAATACACTGAACATGAATAAGTTGAATAATTATTTGAGATCTTGTGTCCAAAAAAATTTTCAGTATAATTTTGAAGTTTTTTTAATTTAATTTTTTTTATTTAATAAAAAGTGAGTAGAATTCAAATTAGAATGATAAATGTATTTAATATAATTTAAAAATGTTACACTCAAAAAGAGATAGTTGTACAAATCAGCCAATTACATACTAATAAACTAATCTAGAGTTTCAAAATTTTTACTATTCCACCTTAGGAATTACTGTGGGCTGGAGGCTTCGACCAGTCGACACTGAGAATCAAGTGATCATAACCATGGCCATTGAGATGTTGAATAGCTCTGGCTGCATCGGAGCGCGATTTGTAATGAACGTATGCAAAACCTTTGCAGGCATTTGTCGTACTTTCCTTTGCCAAGTAAATCTTCTGAATGGCACCGAAAGGTTTTACCAATTCCTCCAAATCGTAGTCAGTAGTGCTCTCTGACAAGTTGGAAATTCTGATGGCAGCTGTATCGTCTCGTCTCTGTCCGTACATGGAATCTCCCTTCTTGTTGCCGCCATCTCTCATGGATGGTGGCACGTATCTGCTTCCAGTGGGTTTGCTCATCTCAGCAGCACCACCTGGACCAACAGCTGGATTCGAAGGCTTCTTGTCGTCCATAACATTGTTAGCTGTCGAAGAGAAAAGTAATTTTTAATGAGAAACATCTTGTGCACTCAAGATAACTGTAAAAACAAGGAGAGTAACTCACGTCCACCGAGCAGAGTGTCCTTGAAGGGACACTTGGAGGTCCAATGGTTGCCGTTGCAGCTGCGGCACTTCATGACGGACTTCTCGGCCATGCTCTTGAGCTTGTCGAGGGCGTTCTCGTCGCTCTTGTTGTCCTCCTCCTTGCTCGAGAGGTACTGCATGAAGACATCCTCGGCGATGATGGTGGTGGCCGGGCTCGGGCCCGCCGCGTCGTTCTCGGAGTCGCCGAACTTGGCCCAGGCTTTGCGCAGTGCCACCGTCTTGGAGACGATGCGCTTCTCGATCTTGTACGTGCGCACGACCTTTACCTGCTTGTCGTCGTCGTTGAGCTTGTACTCGGTGAGGATCTTGAAATCATTCTCGTACTTGGTGGTGGGCGGGGGTAAGTTTGGCACTCCGTCGTCTTCGACCTCGTCGGCCCAGTTGGTAGTCTCGAAATTCGCTGGCATCTGCAAGTTTCAATATCGAAAAATAAGGCACGTTAGCTCTCGCCGAAATCATTGTTAGGTTAGAATTCGTATTTTGAATTCCGAGTGCATAATTTTCGAGGATTATTACCTTGATGCCGTTGCAGAGAAAAAATGCTCTGCGATCGGTAGCTGGTGCCACTCAACTTTGACACAATTTCTATGCAAAAAGAATCACAATCAAATTGTTCGGTGGAAAGAACATACACACGAGTTTACGTCGTGGCGTAAAGAAACGCAGCAGAGTCGAATGCTGTGTCGGCTGGCGCCGCGTGCGAGAGTCTGAAATTGTGGAGTTGTGCTGTGTGCATATCGGCCCGCGCAAACCCACTACCCAGCCAAGAACGTAGAAGTAGCTTGAGTTCGGCTGTCTGCACGTGTTTACTACTCGTGCGATTTTGTATGTCAGTAGGGCGTAAACAAAACAATGGAAAATATCGAACACCCTGCGCAGCAGAAAGTCGTTTTCTTTTTGATGTAAAAAAGAAATGTTTTTCACGCCGAGTTGTAGCAGTTGACATCGACTCGATGCAACTCGATCTGATAACGCCGCGATCGACCTCTCGGAGACGTTCTTCGTACGCGAAAAACAGCAGACGCTGCCGCGGGGGTCGATGCCCTCGGGACATTCGAATATGCATTGAATGTTCAGACGGTACCTATAACGTGGATTTGTTTTCTTAAGCCTCTACGATGTATTATCGAGTCATCTCGACGAGATCTTTCCACGCTACGAGAGCTTCGTCGCGGATCGAGTTTGAATAAGGGAAAAAAAAGGGATATGGTAAATTCGCATCTCTCGACTTGACGAGGCAGCAAAAAGTAACTAGAGATGTGATTGAAAGCATACCAGTGAATGAAAGCACTTTTTTGAATAAAAATTATTAATTGATGACGACATTATTCATGAACGACGAATTTTTATGCTATTCTTGGGTATTATTACTAACTATTCGAATGGTTATCAGGTCCAGAATCAATACAGTTTAACTGCCCTTGCCCAGTAAATGAAAGTATAAATATAAGCATATTTTGATTGGAGTTTTGAACCAATTTTCATCTATGAGGTCTTAAAATGTTTTTAAAATGGTTCTTCTTTACTCAAATGAAACAGATTTTTAAAAAAGATCCCTGAAAAATCACCTAAACGTGTCCTCCACTGCAGGCTGCATATTTTCTGCTGCGACATAATATGATCATAGATAATCTATAAATGAACCAAGATTTGTATCGTATTTGTCTGGAATGAATAAATTAAAAGAAAATTGAAAAAACTAATTTTATTTTAGATTTAATTTTTTTTTGCGTTTCATTTCAGCTTTATTTTTGAATAATGATAATGAAGTTTCAAATATTGCATTTGATAATTTTCAAGAGATTTACTATTTGTTTACGATCAGTCATTTTTCCATAAAAGAAAAATAAGAGCATAAGCTAATGATAGAACGATAAATGTTGCTTTCATAATACAAGTCTTTGATAAAATATAAACTGGAATTTATGGCGGTGATACGAGTAAGAAAAACCTCAAACGTCAAACGTCAAGGGTCCTTAGATTCTTCAATCAGATTTTCTATATCAAACTTTTAAATTTGATGACGATAAATCAGCAATTCAATTGTAAACAATATGATAATTAACGATTTGGACTTGGACCCTCGAATAGTGAAAATATATTAGTGTGAATGTTGTCTTTTCCGATGAAAGCTACAATAGTACCAAAAGATAAATTTTACTTATTTGATTTCCGTAGCACTAAATAGAAAGATCCAACGTTTAATTTAAACACCAAAATGGATAAGAGTGAAAAGAAAATAGAAGAACTTGTCTCTCAAGATAATTCAAATGAACACGACATTGTTGTTTCTGACGACAAACAAAACATCCCTGATATTTGTCAGGTAACACATCGAGACACTATTCACAATGAACAAAAAGATTATACATGCGACAAGTGCGAAAAAAAATTCGATTTCCGTAGTCATTTGAGTAGACACCAAATATCAGAACATAAAGGAGGCAAAAATTTTTCATGCGATAAGTGTGAGAAGAAATTTATCAAAAAATCGAGTTTGTCTACGCACCAAAAATTAGTGCACAAAGATCGTGAAGATTACTCATGCAACAAGTGTGAGAAGAAATTTGAAAGTAAATCAACTTTACTCAAGCACAAAAAAATATTCCACGAAATTTTCAGAGACTACTTATGCGAAAAGTGTACGCAGAGGTTCGAAAATAAACGAAGTCTGCTCTTGCACATCACGAGAATCCATGGAGATCCCAATGATTATGCATGCGATAAATGTGATAAGAAATTTGGACAAAACCGTCATTTGCTTGTACACCAAAAAACAGTACACGAAGGTCGGAAAGATTTTGCATGTAACGAGTGTGAGCAGATATTTGGACATAAATCAAGTTTAGTTTTCCACAAAAAGAAGGTCCATGAAGGTCGCAAAGACTTCTCATGTGACAGGTGCGAAAAGAAATTTGGAACTAAATCGTACTTGATCTTACATCATAAAACAGTTCACGAAGGTCGGAAAGATTTGGCATGCAACGAGTGTGAGCAGATATTTGGACATAAATCAAGTTTAGTTTTCCACAAAAAGACAGTCCATGAAGGTCGAAAAGATTTCGCATGTGACAAATGCGAGAGAAAATTTGGATATAAATCAGATTTGTTGAAGCACCAAAAGACAGTCCATGAAGGTCGCAAAGATTATCCGTGCGATAAATGTGATCAGAAATTTGGACATAAATCAGTTTTGAACAGGCACCGAAAAACCGTTCATGAACTTCGGAAAGATTACGCATGCGGCAAATGCGAGAAGAAATTTGGACAAAAAGCAGCTTTGCTCTTACACAAAAAGACGGTTCACGAAGGTCGGAGAGACTTTCCCTGCGACAGGTGTGAGAAAAAATTTACAGAAAAAAGGTGTTTGTTCGTGCACGTAAATACGGTACATGAGCGCCGCAGGGATTTCACTTGCGATAAATGCGAGAAGAAATTCGGGGTTCGCAGCAATTTAATGGTACACCGAAGAACAGCGCACGAGGGTCGCAGAAATTTTGCATGCGACAAATGTGAGAAGAAATTCGTACAAAAAGCACATTTGCTCAAACACCAAAGTACAGTTCACGATGGTTGCAAAGATTTTGCATGCGACAAGTGCGAAAGAACATTTGGACAAAAATCAGATTTGTTGAAGCACCAAAGGACGGTACACGAGGGTCGCAAAGATTACTCGTGCGACAAGTGCGAAAAGAAATTTGGAGAACGAAAAAATTTGCTCAGACACCAACAATCAATTCACTAATAGTAAATTTCATTTTGCGTAATTAAATGACCTAAAGGAAATTTGTTTAAGCCCCAAAGCGAGTATATGAAGGTGGCAAAAATTTGCTTGCCACATATGCGAAAATAAATTTGGACTCAAATCGACTTTACTTTTGCATGAAAAAACGATCCATCAAGCACGTGAAGACTATGCATGCGACAAGTGTGAAAGAAAATTTGGCCAAAAGACGAATTTGTTAAGGCACCAAATGACAGTCCTCGAAGTCTGCCAAAATTTTGAAATACATGTATGTATGCGAGAAGTAATGCAGGAATCAAAGTGTTTTCATTAAACACCAAAACGTCCAACCGATTGACCACAATATGTAATAACTAACAGTCGTAACTAACTAACAGTTAATAAAATGCACAGAAAATAATTTGTTAAGATTACGTATGTTCTATAAAAGCGACAACATTTTCATCTACGCTATGTTAATCCTCACATTTGATTTGCTGATGAGGTCAAATTTTTTGCTTATGCATAGAAAAGATGTAAAAAATAAGAATCAATTCGACAGATCATAAAAGAATTTTTCAGGAATACGTAAAGATTGTGAGATCATCAATACTATAACTTAATTCTAGAATATATTGACTCTAAAAATATATCATTTTATTTTATTTTTCACATAATTAGACAACGTAACCGTGTATCACGTCATATAATATTCAGAGCTTATTAGTGAAATAAGTTCGAGATATTCGTATATCAACTATGAATTATGCATAAAAACTTGATTATCTCAGAGAATATCATGTATCTTATAAATGGAAAGCACTGATTTTTTTTATAGAAATCGTAAACATTTACGGATAATCATATAAATGTTTTTTCTAAAATTTCAATGAAAATTGTGCCAATATTATTGTGTCTTACTTGAACCTTGGCTCACTTTCGTGGTGCTGTTTAATTTTTTTAATCAGGCTCTGTGGATCTTTATGCGACTATCAGCCGAGAGCTTCCTCCACGATTGACTCTGTCATAAAAGACGTGATCGATAATAGCAAAACCAACTTAGAAATCAATTAATAATTTGATTGAAACCAATTAGTATTTTTTACATACTATGAAATAAATTAAAACACTTCTATAGGTGAGAGAGCATGTATTAAAAATGGATGATTTTTCATTATAAAGTCTAGTAATAAGTCTAAAAATTAGTCTATAATGTTGTTATAAAATCGAGCAATTGCAGTTATGACAAATTTTTGTGATAATCAAAATATATTTAGAACAGTGTGATTCTCAGCGAACATGGAAACTTTTAATACAGTCCTTTTGTCTGTGTATTTGTTATATATTCATTCTTCTTTTACACTGAGAAAAAAAATTCATTGATTCAATAAAATATTTATTTAAATACAATATACAAAATAATTTCATTGAATTAATCCTTTTTTTATTTCATCCAACAAAATACTTAATTTTTTTTACCAAAGTTTCATTGCTTCGATCAATCATTTGATTAAATAAATAGTAAATAAAATATAAATTATATTTCATTGAATTAATGAATTTTTTTTCTCTGTGTACCAATCCACAATCTTATTTTAACGTTTGGATTTTAATTTTTCGAGTTTTTCAAAATCAAGCGCCTCAAACTTTAAATGAAAACCGCCTTTCCTATTTCGTCATACCGACGATTCGTTGCCGTGTGATCGGTCAAAAGATGACGTATTACGCATGCACCATGACCATCGCTGCCGCCCATGTGTGCGGCCGTTGGTCCGATATACTTTCTCTCGCACAGTTGCATCGTGTTCTCCGCGCCTCGTGTTTCTATAGACTCGAGATTTTTTTCGTCTCGATAGGTTAATTTCCCAAAAAAAAAAAAAAGTTCGACTCAAAAAAAAATGGACACGGAGGATTTTATAGTGTACTTTTCTCGCCTGCTGCACGAGTTCCAAAAGTTGAGGAGAGTCGGAGGCGAGGGCGACCAGAGGCGCAGGGAATTCTGCCGGCTGTGCATGGCCGAGTTCGTGAATCTTGGTGGCGCGGTGCAAAGCCTCGAGTACAAGGTTTTGACAGTTCTAATGAACTGCAGCACTCTGTTTCCCGGTCTCAGGGATGAGAAATATTTTTTGAAATACGCTCTGGACAGGCGCTCGGTGATAATGATAAGACTGCTTAGAACGGGCGGAGTGAACATACACGAGCTCCGCTTGGAAAATCGACACTCCGCGTTGCATTATCTGTCCGAGGTGAAGTATCGGAAAAAGTTCCGCGGTGATTACGTGACAAGTAAGATAAAAACCATACAGGTCATGGAATATTTTTTGAAGAAACCGAAGATAAATTATCAAGACAGTCTCGGTTATACGTATTTTCATGCGGCTTGTATGTCGGGCAACGTGTCGGCCGTAAATAAGTTTTTGAACCAATTAGGCGTGAACGTCAATATCGATACATACACGTGCTCGCCGCTTCATATGGCAGCCCAGTACAGACACGCCGAGGTTATTGAAATTTTACTGACACACGGGGCCAATCCGAATAAGCGTGACGCAGAGAAGTCCACGCCTCTTCACGCCCTCGCATGGCTGTGTCTATGCCAGTGCACCGACGACGATACTTTGTGCGACAAGAGAAAACCAGTTGATGAACTCGTTCAAATGCTCATTGATTACGGAGCAGATATGGAAGCTCGCAACTGTCACGGGCTCACTCCTCTGGGTCTGTCGGTCTGTCGATTTGACCTCGAGCTTACAAGGACACTTTTGAAGTACGGAGCGAAGATCGAAAATTTAAACGAGGATAACTTGTTTACAATGACATTCAAACCACTGGAATTGAAAAATTATCCTTTAACTTTAAACATCATCGAGATGTTACCGCTGTTGAAATCGGCTGGCTACAACTTAAGCTTGCAAGCAAGACTCAGAATGATCAAATATTGGATGAAAATTCGAGGGAACGACACCAATCATTTTATCAGCGATTATACCGGTAAGTCGTATTTCACTTTATCAATCATAAATTTATGAGGAGTCATACACCAAGTCACTCCTCTTTGCCATTTTTTTTATATAAACCACAGTTTTATGTCAATCTATATTTTCTACATAAAACTGACTTCTTTGAGCTCTAAAAAATGTGAAAAAATTGCAGAATAGTCCTTTGCATCTTTAAATAGCTTATCTTTGCTTTTTTATCCTTTCGTCACTCTGCGCAAGGTTCAGATCAGAGTTATTTAGGTGGCCATGCCTCTCTTTGCCATTTTTTTGATATAAACCACAGTTTTATGTCAATCTACATTTTCTACATAAAACTGACTTCTTTGAGCTCTAAAAAATGTGAAAAAATTGCAGAATAGTCCTTTGCATCTTTAAATAGCTTATCTTTGCTTTTTTATCCTTTCGTCATTCTGCGCAAGGTTCAGATTATTTAGGTGGCCATGCCTGATAGGAATCATAATCTTCAAAAAAGTATCCTTTATGGGCTGAGTTTTGTGGAATTTTGATTAGAGTTATAAAAAAGTTTGTATGCCAAAAGATGCAAAAAAAGCAAGATATAAAAAATAGTTATCGCTCAAAAAAGTCAATTTTATGTAGAAAATGTAGATTGACATTAAACTGTGGTTTATATAAAAAAATGACAAAGAGGGTAAATTGGTGTATGACTCCCCTTAATTTAACCGGTGAATAATTTTTTAAATATATTTTTTTCAGAGTTTTTGGAGCCCGTGACAAAAAAGATAATCATCAAGGAGGTGGTGCAAAGATTATTTTTGTGTCGCGAATATGGCTTCTATCTTCCCCAAGAAACCGAGGATCTCTTGTTAAAAAAATGCAAGTTCTTGGATCCTTTCAACGATCACTACAAGGTGTATAAACCTCGTTCGAACGTGGTTGAAACTTTGACGGACGAAGTTAAGAGCACAAAAAGTATCATGATAACCGGAGACGTTTCGCTGTATGAAATGTTGCAAATGAGCTACAGTGAGGGTTATTCGCTAATAAAAGGTATAAAAAATTGGCGATTGCCCGCAATGGACGATATCTCGTGTACGTACGTGAACATGATCGCAAAACGGCACTTGGCGAACGTTTTGATACGGCCGCACTTGGAACGGTTAGTAGCCGATCTTTTCATGACTGATCATTGCCAATTGAGTCTCCCGTACCTCGCTTGCCTAAATATTGCCGAACACATGAGCGACAAAGATCTATTCCGTTTATGCCAGAAGACAAACGAAAATCAATTACAACCAAATACGATCCGTAGCAGGAAAAGGCGCCATGAGTCAAGATCGTCTGGAGGTTCTGAACCACCGGTGCGTCGATCGCGCAGACTGCAGGGCCTTCCAGCAAGTGAAAATCACAGTTGAAAAGCTCGCCCTTCGCCTCCTGGATCTCGATCGCAGAGTTTCAGGAACAATTCCTAGTTGCATAAATCAAATCCTATAAATTATTTTTTTCTTTGTTGCTGTTAATGAAATTTATTGATATATTGTTACTTGTATAAAATTGCACGAGCAGAGCCATTCGCGCATGACCGAATTCAATGTACACATGTCAACTTGACACTTGTTGTGATATTATGCCATTTGTAAGGGATCAATGATCCATGAAAGCTATGTAAGGTTTTTGTGGAGTTCTTGGTGTAAGAAGAAAGAAAAAGAAATTTAAGAGCTCGATAATTTTTAATGTAAGTTGTTATTATTAGTAACTGTAAATTATAAATATAATTAATAGTGTAAGTTGTTTTGAAGTGGCATAATGTTTTTGGTTAAGTCTCCTATTCATGTTCATGTTCATCCTCGTGTTCATCTCTCCTGTACATGTAAATAGTGTATATTAAGTGTTATTTTAATCATAATTATCAGCTGCTATAGGTCTTGTTTAATCATGTCCTGAATATATTAAAGATATAATTGTATCAAGCATTATTAATGTTATATGACTTATGTATAAAACTTTACTGAATAAAATTGACATTATGGATGATATAATGTGTTTAGATCTGTTGATCACTTTTTTAATTTGAAAATCTACATATGATTGCAATATTATTGACAAATAAATTCTATGCAAATTTAGAAGATTATAATCTAGGATAATCTATAAGCCCATCAATAAAAAAAAACAACATAATTCAATCGATGCTCGATATAAAATTAGAAGATAAAGTTTCTATCGTGCCGAACTGTTTCACCGAGTCCTCAGGATCGTCATCCGTCATGGTACTACTCTCAGTTGCACTTGAGGTAAGGCATACACTAATTCACTCCTCTCTAGCATTTCTGTTTTACAAATCACAGTTTTGAAGTCAATCTACATTTCCAACATAAAATTGATATCGTTGGCGCTAAAAAATATGTAAAAAGTTGCAGAATAAGCATTTGCAACTTAAAATAGCTTTTTTTCTATTTTAGCCTTTCGGCATTGTGCGTAAAGTTCAGAGTTTTATAGGTGGTGAAAGCTTTCAAAAGTTGAAAAAAACACAAAACAAGAAATCTGGTCGAGTTCGAACCGGAATTTCATTTCCTAAATTATGTAAAAAGCTTCCCAAAGATGTCAACTACTGCCTGATAAATTTTTGTAATGGGTCTTAGAGTTTAACGCAATGTAGACAACAATGTGTGGCGAAAAACGTGCAAAAAAGGTCTGAAATTGGCTGTTTTTGGTGATTTTAGACATTTTTGGCCTATTTTTAATAACCCTTATCCGAGAATGTCTTTTGGCATATATCGTATGCATGTCTTGTTTTACGATGCACCGCATCGATGTATCTTTGGAGATAACTCTTAAATCTAAATGATTTTCTACATACATCACATGCAGGTTTAATATTGCCGTTACGGGCTGATTCAGTGTGAGTTTTTAGCCTATGTTCGTAGTTCACCTCTTTTGAAACACTTCCTGTTTCATTTTTCTCGCTGAGTTCACGTCCTAAATTTAAATCAGATTCTTCATCCTTCAAAATTTCTTTCTTCAGCAGCGTGACAGTTTCTAATTTAATTTTGCTTCCATTTTTATACTCATCGCCATCCTGACATTGATTGGGAGAATAAACTTCAATTTTCGCAACCGCCAATAAATTGGGCTTCATGTCTGTACATTCCATTTCGATTTCCAGGTCGTCAAGTTCATTTTTATGATTTTCGTCATATTCTTGAAGAAGCTCTTGTGTCTGAAAAAAATAAATTATTAGGAAAATTTCATCAATGATAGTCAAACGTAATTATTAAAGCTTACTAAATTTTCTTGCCGAAACATCCCGTATTCAACATTTTGAGTAACGGGTGTTGCGTCAATTATTTTGTAATCATTATTATCATTGAGGGGCTCATCACGAGGCTCTTTTTTCACTCTCAATTGGATTTGATAAGATTACATGATTATGTTAAAATATTTTCATATTTTCATACTCAAAATAAAACTTACCTAATAGTAGGATTGAATACGTTGCTCGAGTCCATCTTGCTGGCTGGAAATGTTATTTGCGACTAACTCAGTTCAATAACATTTACAAATCATGATGTGGGAATTGGAACTAGTATATAAACGAAGCAACTCAAGTTTCACAACAACGGGACAATTACGTTATCGATCTACCTTGTGAATAATAATTATTTTTCTATTCATAATATTTTATTTTCAAAGAAATCAAAAAAACATGAAAATGAATTCATTAGCATTAATTATTTCATGTTCTAAAAAAGTGGAATGATAATAATTTGTCCGCATGAAGTGAATTCGATCAGTTGATCATGGAATTGAAAAAACGGTTATTTATACTCTGAGTCACATCCTTTAAGAAAGCTAAATACTACCTCACAAGCTGACAAATTTGGCTCGGCAGCAATACTTTCGTCGTTCGGAGCAGCCGAAAGGTCGAATCTCACAAGATTTGCCACAGGACGTTACTTTGACGCTCATACCTCTGGCTATTTCCAGAGAACCTGAATTAGACTCTCTTCCTCTGAGTCGCAAGGGGAGGCTGCAATGATGGTAATTCGTGTACGACGGATGGTGATAATAACGGAGCTTTGGAGTTCCTTTCCGAAGAACCACGAGAACGACCCAACTTGACGTTGAAAAAGCTCGAAGAAGATATGCCTTTAGTTAGGCCACCGGCTTTGCGCCGAGACATCGTACCACAGCGAGAGAGTCGAGTCTGAAAGCGACGATATTTCATAAATTTGAACAAAATATAATTCTCACAATAGCTTGGAGAGATAGCAAGTAACATCGAGTACGAAAGAACATCCATAAAACTTGTAGTGGCCGCGACTTCTCAAAAATAAAGAAACGAGCGATATTATAAGAAAAGCGCAGAACCCTCGATTTCGGCAACTTTCCCTGCATTGGAAGTTTTACGTGGACGTTATTTATATCTTTCCATATGTAAATAACATAACACAGAGATATTCGTCATATAATTAATAAAATTTATTAATTGAGTCGTCTGAAGAGATCTTGATCTTACATTTGGATTTGTAACTTAATTCAACATAAATTTTAAACATTTATTAGGTCTGATTGCGTGAGCGGTGCGTCGCATCGATGTGAGCTTTAAGATTTCTTTTTTGTCTGAATGTCTTTCCGCAGGTCTCGCATGAATGTATGATACCACTATGCGACGATTTGACATGCTTACGGAGTTGAGTTTGATATTTAAATTTTTTTCCACAGAAATCACATGCGTGGGTGATTCCATTGTGTTCCGCATCGATATGAGCTTTAATACTACTTTTCGCAGTAAATTTCTTTGTGCACACATCACATGCGAAGCCGGTTCCATTGTGCACAGCGTCGATATGCCTTTGGAGATAATACTTTGTTGTGAATGTCTTTTCACAAATATCGCATGCATGTCTGACACTATTATGCACCGATTCTATGTGGATTTTGAGATGATCTTTTCGAGTAAATGTCTTTTCACAAACATCACATGCATGTGAAATACCATAATGCACCGATTCGGTGTGGGTTTTGAGATGACTTTTTTGTGAGAATGTCTTTGCACACATGTCACATGCATGCCCGACTCGCTTGTGCACCGAATCGATATGAGTTTTGAAATAACCTTTTTGTGAGAATGTTTTTTGGCAAATACCGCACGAATGTCTGACACCATTATGCACCGAATCGATGTGCTTTTTGAAATTACTCTTGTCTGAGAATGTCTTTTGGCATATATCGCACGTGTGCCTTATTTTACGATGCACCGACTCGATGTGGGTTTTGAGATTACCCTTGTCTGAGAATTTCTTTTGGCATATATCGCATGCATGCCTGACTTCATTATGCACCGACTCGATGTGCTTTCTGAGATTACTCCTGTTTGAGAATGTCTTTTGGCATACATCACATGGATGCATAATTTTATAATGCACTGAATCACTGTGTATTTTAAGATTACTTTTATTTGAGAATGTCTTTAGGCATATATCGCATGAATGCGTGATTTTACGATGCACCGAATCGATGTGCCTATTGAGATGACCTCTAAGTTTGAACACTTTTCCGCAAATATCACATGCAGGTTTGATATTGCCATTACGGGCTGATTCAGTGTGAGTTTTTAGCCTATGCTCATAATTTAGCTCTTTTGAAACACTTCCTGTTTCATTTTTCTCGCTGAGTCCACGTCCTAAATTTAAATCATTTTCTCCTTCCCTCAAAATTTCTTTCTTCACTGACCCGACAGTTTCTACTTTTATTTTGCCTCCGGTTTTATACTCTTCGCTATCTGGCCATTGACTTGGAGAATAATCTTCTATTTTCACCACTGTCAATAAATTGGGCTTCATGTCTGTACATTCCAATTCGATTTGAATGTCGTCAAGCTCATTTTCTTGAAGCTCTTGGGTCTGAAAAAGATTAAAGTTATGAGGGAAGGATCATTAAAACTTAACGGCTACAGTCGCCAATAATTATTAAATCTTACCGAGTTTTCTTGAAGAAACCTTTCGTACTTGACATTTTCAGTTACGGGTATCGCATCGATTGTTTCATAATTATTTTGGGTAAGCAAATTATCACAAGGCTCGACTTTCACTCTGAAATAATATTAATTAGATCATAAAATTTCGTTTTAATATTTTTATGACTTCATCCTCACAAAATAAAAATTACCTAACAGCAGCATTGAATAAACCACTAGTTTCCATCTTACTGGTTAGAAATGTCTTTTGCGACTCACTCTGTCAATACTACCGTTACGAGTCGAAATAGAACTCAAACTGATCTCAATAATATTTACTAATCATGATATGGGGAAATAGGAATGAATATAATCGGGGCAATATTACACTCGATCTGCCTCGTGAACAACAATAACTTTTCCACAAATAATATTTTAGCACGAAGAAATTAAAAATTAGAAATCAAAAGTTAATTTCTTATAATTGATAAAACAACGAAAAAAAGGCTAATGGCTAATCGTTTTTTGATTATATATCTTCCGGTGTGAATGTAAAGTCATAAACTACCTTTTACTTCACACTTGCCATCAGCCTCTGGACTATTTGTCACTTGTACTTTTAAATCAATCGATTTCATTATGCCCAATGCGGTTACTTCCGGTAGTTAATCTGAATAAGATAATCGGACAAATAAGACACTTGTCGCAAGTCATATCCAAGTTTACTTACAAGTAGACCACCCCAGCTCCAGGTCATGGATTCGCTCCAAAATTTTTTTTGGGGTCTCCTGGTACCCAATACTAAAGCACCTTGTGCTTAGTTTGATCCAATGGGCCTTAGGGCCCATTTTGTAGAGGATTTTCCACATTATAAACAAATCTTTGTCGAATTATCTATATCGAAATAGAAGTACTTGAACGAAAAATTGGGACGATCAAATGTTTTGAAATTCTTCAAAGAATCTGCTTGAATTTTTTCAGAATTTTTGGGACCATCTTTCACTTAATTCAAGAGGCCCAAATTTGACTCTTTTTTTATAGATTTTAGGGCTTCTTAAAGAGTTTGATAGATATGGTCCCAAAAATTCTGAAAAAATTCAAGCAGATTCTTTGAAAAAATTTAAAACTTTTGATCGTTGCATTTTTTCGTTTAAGTACTTCTATATCGATATAGAAAATAACAAAGATTCTTTTACAATGTGGAAAATCCTCTAAAAAATGGGCCCTAAGGTCCATGAGATCAAATTAAGCAAAGGGAGTTTCAGTATTGGGTACCAGGCGATCCCAAAAAAATTTTGGAGCAAATCTATGACACGGAGCTGGGGTGGTCTCCTTGTTAGATTACAATCAATATGTAGGAGGTAGTCGCTCTAGAGCATCGAATGTGGCCACAGCCTACTGGTCTGCCGCAAAATCGATCCGCCCTCGTCACTGTCACTTTTCGATGCGAGTACATACTAATGTTGCTACTAATAGAAAATATGTAGTATTAGAAAACTATCAGAAAATATGGCCGATTCTCTGGGAAATCGATTGGTCAAAAAAATTTTTTTTCTGCAAATATGAAAAACTTGTTGTATTTGATGTCAGATTTGTCCCAAAAAAATTTTAGAAAAATTGGGGCCTTGAAGAGTAAAACTCGCATCTTAATGCATGCACATGTATGGTCAGTACAGGTTACGACGCCGCAGCGTGAAGTGATTAAAAGTGAAGAAAAATAAAAACCATTATACATTGTATAAGTGGCAGTGCGTGTGAGTGGGTGTCGCGAGAATTAAACGATATCATGTCGGCGTCCGATGAAAAATCGCCCGGAGGCTGGGACACAATTAATCATCTCAATGATAGATCTCGCGACTATCCGAGTAACTACTTCTGCATGAAGAGATTGAACGGCTTGCGCGAAGAGATCGATTGGGAGGCCGAAGACCTGCAAGCCGAGCTTTATCGTCGATTTAGTTCCGCGATCGACTGCTGGTCGGGCGAGCTTCCAGCCGATCTCCGTGACGTTTTTCGCAGCGAAGAGATCGATCGGATCCTCGCGGGGGCCGTGATCGCCAGCGAGACGGACGACGCGCGTCACAAAAACGGATACCGAGTCGTGTTCGGTTCGTGAAGCTGACCGGCTACAGAGACAATAATCGTCGTTCGGCGAGTCCGCGTCGCACCACCGCCATACATCACGCGGCCAGACAGCTCGACAAGAAGGTCGACTAGCTCGTCGACATCGTGTCCGATCTCTTTGAGATTTACGACCGGTACGACGTGAACTACACCGATGAGGATGGCTTGACGCACTTCCACGTGGCCTGCGAGTTCGATCGTCACGCGGTCGTCGAGAGATTCCTCGCCCAGAGAGATTCCGCGCCGATCTGTCCAGCTTCGTTTTTCCCACCGAGGCTCACTTCGACGAGTGCTTCCAATCGTACAGCAGCAAACGGCTCGAGTTCAAATTGAGATTGGCCTCGGGAACGATGGCGGTGTTGGAGCGTCTGAAGAAACGAGGATACGAGCTGGATCGCAGCCAAGCGACCTCGATCACGAAATTTTTCGCTCGGCGCGGATTGTTCGAGACGACGAGGTCGCATCTCGAACCAAGTTGGTACGATATCGACGAAGAGTTCGCGCGGGAAGCGAAAAAGATAATGATAAGACCGGGTCAATCTTAGGACGACGATGATGATGAGGATGATGATGAAGATGAAGATGACGATGACGACGAGGAAGATGTCGAAGATGAGGCGAGTCTGTCGCTCTACGATCTCGTCCGGTTACGACTCGAGGAGGCTGAAAAAGTTGTCACGTCTACGGATTACTTGTGCTTCTCGAAATCGAGCAAATGGCGGGACTTGTGCAAAGGGTCGGTCGAGGCTTGCGTTGCGCATCTGTGCGAGAAACTGTCCGCGAGATTTTTCCGTCGATGGGCGCTGGATCCTTTCATGGAGCTCACGCATTACCGGCTGCCTCATCTCTGCTCCGACATGGTCCTTGAGAACTTGAAAAATGAAGATCTATATCGCATTTGTTTAGCAGCTTCGAGTCTAAGCTAGAGATGTCGATCGGCATTTTTTTTTTTTTTTTTTTTTTACTTTGAAAAAGTTGAAAGATTTACATGAAATTTAAAAATGATTCTATGTATTGTGTTTGTACAAATTTTTTATAATAAATAAGTATAAAAAAATGAATGATTATTTTGAAATTCAATTTTGTGTGTCTTTAATATTATCATTTTCTTTTTTGATTTTATTTTCAAAAAAAGCATTGAAAAATTTCACATTTTGCAACTGCCCTTATTTTTTAATCATTTTATACGCAAAATTTATTTAGCCTTCGTTTTGAAAAGTCTTGTGCCGTGAAAAAGATTTACCATGTACTTACAACAAAGTCTGATCCATTCATAAAAAGATAACATGCAAACGAGAAACAATGCAGAAATATAAATCTCTGAGTAATAAACCTGATCGATGGTGATCGATGGATAATATGCATTCAGATCATTCAATAATTGTATTTTAATTTCAAATCAACATGAAATTGAAACAAGACTGCTAAATAAATCATATACAATTTTATAAGATTAAAGTTAACAGTTCTATGTAACTTTAAAATCGCAAGCCTTCAAAATTCACAATATATACTGTTTTGTTCGGAGCCGAGGATTTTTGGACTAATAAACCTTTAAAAACCTTACAAACATTCCTAAATAATTCTCATTAATTCACTTTTAAAAAATTGACAACTTTTATCATCGAACGTCGTAATGTGCGTCAGTTCGTGCACAATCCAAGCCGTGAGGCGTGTTTGTCATCCCTCACCCCTATCCTGCCTTGCGAGCAGTAGTTTCAACAAAAATCGAATTTATTTTACCACCAAATGACATTCCACGAAGGTCCTGTTGATGTCGCTTACTGTATTTTTAAAATCATGAAAACTGTTAACAATAACGAGATAATGAAATGTAATTTTATGCTATAAAACTTAAATATTTATCTCTAACAATAATGAGAGAAACAAATGAAAACAACTGGTTGTAATAAAAAAACTTGAAATAATTGTCGTGAATTTGTTTATTGCACTCTAATTAATATTTTCTTTGAAATATATTTCTTTTTTCGTTGTATAATATTATACATAAATATCTTAACATGCTTAACATGCTTATTCACTAGTTAGAACATAATCTCTCTCTTCGTTATACAACTCATTAATAAAAATATATAAAAATAAAAAAATAATTTTACTCGTTAAATATACTTATCACATATTCAAATTTATCACAGAGATAATTTGATTATTTTTTCTTATTTAGTACATTAAGTGAATCTTTGGCTTTCTCAATTGATTTTGTAAAAAGCATTTCCGGAGTATAATTAAATATAACATGAAGTATAAAGTTATTAAACGTTTTATAAAAAATCATTATGATTATGAACCATATCTAGAATTATGTTGTGAATCTTTTGTCAGTTGTGGTGAAGCCACATCAGTTTGTCAGTTTGTTTCTTCTATAAGTTGATGTGTGTGAAGTAGTAGACGTGTCGCTGCTAGGTGGCACAGAGCGAAAATGTAATTCACGCGAATAAATTAATCAAGTATGCGAATTAAATAGAACTAAGAAAGCTTGTAATTTTGAAAGCCTCGAGAGAGGCAAAAGAGAGGGGAACAATTTGGTGTCCTGTTTTCTTGGCCAATCTGTCTGACTCATCTGGCGACAATCTAATTGTAGATTTTGGTCGCTTGCGAGTATTTCCTCTTGATCTTATCCTCCGCCGAAATCCGTGCATTTGGTTCTGTAGTATTAATTTTATTTTTTAAATAACTATTAATCTTCTATTAAAATAGGTTGAATTTATTCACATTAATTCTTACCCGCTTTCGCATTGTCCATGGAAGACACTTGCATCTCGTCCAACGGTTCATAGTTCATTGGCGTACCATCTTCCAAAAATCGTTCCGAAGCTCTTCGAGATATTAGTCGATGCCCGCGGAACATTGATGGAATAGTCTTTAAAACCGTACATAACAAAAATAATCAAGGTCAAACAACTAAACAAATACGAGACATGCAAATCAAATACTATATTTAGTAAGGACACAAAAAAGTTTCAGAAGTTTGACCATAGCCGAGCACAATGAAACACAACGTCATTAAGATACGCTTAGAATAATTGAGCATGAAAAATTATTGGAACCATCAATTGAATTCGATTTGATCGGACAGAATCAATATTAACGCAGAGTATTTGCCGGTTACAATATCACTCGAGTTCATACCTTTTTGTCTTTATGTACCACTGCTAGTACTGCTGCTCTGGTCCAGAAGAGGTTGCCTGCCGTCGAGAGATGTTTTTCGCGTTGCAAACGATGCCTCTGGATGTTGCTCCAAGCGCACAAAACAGGAGGTCGATTATATTTGTCTACTCTCGTCGATGGCGATGGATTTTATTGCTTGAAACAATAAGCTTGCTCAGATCGCAGTTTTACGATTTATCCGGGGCCGACACGTGTGTAACGTATTTAATAACTGTTATTGTTCTTAGTGCGCTACTCGCTCTGCTCTTGCACTATGGCCGATCGAGATAGTACAGAAGAATAACATCGATATAACGTAGATTATAACACATGAAAAATTTGACGCGAGACGGCGTGTATTTCACATAGCAGCTACGGAAAATCCTGTGCAATCAATGGCATCGCGATCGCGCGAGATTTGAAAATGAACGGAGTTTGCTCATATACACACGTAAAGACGGTCCGGGTCGCAGACAACAAGTGCAGAGAAAAATCGAATATACTTTACCACCAAATGACAGTCCACGAAGGTCAGAAAGACTTTGCATGCGCTTTTTCACAAAGAAAAAAGAACAAAATAGAAACGAGATACAAGCAGGTCGAAAAGATTTCGCATGCAATAAATGCGTCATCGTACATCAAGGCTGCGAAAATTAAAAAAAATCGATCGAATAATGTGTTTTCCTTTTGAGATTATTCTGTAAAAGTAACGTTTAAAAAATATTTTTCGCAAATATTCGTTGAACAAATACTTCTTCAGATCATAATTTAAGCACACACTCTCAAAGTTACTCAGAAGTTCCTCAGATGACTTTAGAATATTCTACACGTCCTTCATTTTTTTTCATAACAAAGATAGTGCTTTGCTCGATCTATTCGCTAGCTGCATGTTAATGGAGGGGGTCGCAGCGCTGGCATAGACTTTAACATGTGCTCTTACGGGAATTCATTCAAAAACTGCCAGCGGCGCTCACAGAACTAAAATTTATTCGTAAGAAATAACTTGGAATTTCTCCAAAATCGGGGCGCCACGGGTTATGCAGATAGCCAATAGCTGGCGGTGCAACTGGCGGGTTGCTCTGCTTTGCTAGCTGCTATAGTCAGTTCCTCCGCATCCGTGCGACAGTTAGTCTATTACTTTCTCTTTCAAGTGTCAGTGCAATCGTAGCTTCCACCACGTGTTTAGTGATCAGTTTTTATCGTCTCGTGTTCAGTGTTGAAGTCGAAAATTTTTAATCACGGAAGTCAATTTCACGAACAAATCAATTCGAAATGTCGACGAATAATGACGATGAATACTTATCTTATTTACGAAAAAGGTACAGTTTTTTGGAAAGAATGAAAGAAGTGGAGTTTAGACGCACAAACTTTTGCTACATTTGTTCATATGATATTTTAGATAGAGAACCCCATTTTCGAGACAGAGTTTTAATAAGCTTGATGAACTGTAAAAGTCTATTTCCTACTGTTGAAGATAAAAAATATTTTTTTAAATATGCTTTGGATAACCGTGATTTGAAAATGATAAAATTATTGTTCGAGGCGGGAAACTTGAAAATGCACGAGGTTACATTCGAAGATGGAATGTCTGCTCTGCATTTTTTGGTTGAGGTAGTGTACGAAAAAAAAGATTACTTACGTGATCTTAGTTACGTAGTAACACCAAAAGCGGGAACTTTAAAGCTCATAGAGTATTTCTTGGAGAAGCCTCAAAAAAATTTCTGTGACAAAAGTGGCTATACATATTTACACGGAGCTTGTATGTTGGGAAATGCGACTGCAGTGAATTTACTTTTGAGTCAAGGCGTGGACGTCAATCTCGACACATACACGTTTTCGCCGCTTCATATAGCAGCCCAGTACAGACACGCTGACATTGTTGAAATTTTATTGACACATGGGGCCAATCCGAATAAACGAGACCCAGAGAAGTTCACGCCTCTTCACGCCCTGGCTCGGCTGTGTCTATGCCAGTGCACCGACGACCATACTTTGTGCGACAAGAGAAAACCAGTTGATGAACTCGTGAAATTGTTGCTCGATAACGGAGCAGATATGGAAGCTCGTAATTGTCAAGGGTACACTCCGCTAGGTCTGTCGGTTTCTCGACTTGACCTTCAGCTCACGAGGACACTTTTGAAATTTGGGGCGAAGCTCGAAAATTTAAACGAGGATAAAATTTTCAACATGACATTCACACCACTGGAATTGAAAAATTATCCTTTAACTTTGAACATCATCGAGATGTTACATTTGTTGAAGTCGGCTGGCTACGATTTAAGTTTACAAGCAAGACTCAGAATGATGAAATATTGGATGCAAAGTCGAGGAAACGATACCGATCATCTTATCTGTAAAACTGATGGTGAGTCATTTAATTTTACCAATATAATTATATTAATTTATACTATTTAATGATTTTTTTAAATTTGTTAGGTCCTTTGCAAAACATGATAACTGTCAGGCATATTGTGGAAAAAATATTTATTCACCGTAAATTTGGACTTTATATTAAACAAGAAGCTGAAGATTTATTGAGTCAACAAATTAAAAAGTTAAATACAATCAATGTAAGAAATTACGTTGGAATTTATCAACTTGATCGTTATAGAATTAATATTTTGACGGCCGAAGTTGAGCGCACAAAAGAAATCATGTTAACCGACGACGTTTCGCTGTATGAAATGTTGCAAATGAGCTACAGTGAGGGTTATTCGCTAATAAAAGGTATAAAAAATTGGCGATTGCCCGCAATGGACGATATTTCATGTACGCTCGTGAACATCATTGCAAAACGACACTTGGCGAACGTTTTGATACGGCCACATTTGGAACGGTTAGTAGCCGATCTTTTCATGACTGATCATTGCCAATTGAGTCTCCCGTACCTCGCTTGCCTAAAAATTGCCGAATACATGAGCGATGAGGATCTATTCCGTTTATGCCAGAAGACAAACGAAAATCAATTACGACCAAATACGATCCGTCGCAGGAAAAGGTGCCATGAGTCAAGATCGTCTGGAGGTTCTGAACCACCGGTGCGTCGATCGCGCAGACTGCAGAGCCTAAAATTCAAAATTAAAAAATTTTAAAATTTAAAATTATAAGTGTAAGTTGTTTTGATGTGTGATAAGGTTTTTGGTTTTGTCCTTGAGAGATTATAATGTGTTCTATTCAAGTAATCATCTCACTTAGCTCTTTGATTGCTCGTGTACATAATGTATATTAAGTATTATTGTAATCATAATTATCAGCTGATATGAGTTTATGTTCTGAATATTGTATCAAACATTATTAATGTGATATGATTTATTTATAAAACTTTACTGAATAAAATTGACACTTATGGATAATATGTGTTTAGACCTATTAAATTATTTTTTAATTTCTAATCTACATACGATTGCAATAATATCGATCAATAAATTCTATGCAAATTAAGAAGATCAAAGTTAGAAGTTAGTCAGTTAAAAAAGTACAAATAAAAAATGAAATTGGAAATTGCAAGTCTTGATATATAATATTTTACCTTGATCCAGAGGTTTTTGGACGAATCAACATTTGAAAACTACCGCTTTATCATTATCAAACACGAATATCGTCAATTCGCCCTCGAAAAATGGCCAACTTTTATCCATGGAACGTAGCTGCAAACATTTTTTTCGCGCGCACAATTCAAGCCGTAGCGCGTGTTTGTAAACCTCCCCACCCCTCTCCATCCTCGATTTGCGCGCGCACGAGTGTATCTGCATTTCTCGCTCGTCTTTCGCACGTTGTTGCACACAGTGAGTCTCGCTGCTGACACGCGAGTTTGCGTCCGACGATGTCATCAAAATAAACCACCGTGATATATAAATGCAGTTGTGCGTTACAGCGAACTTTGTTTGGTCATCCTCGGACAACAGTCACGGAATAGCAGACATCAAAGCTATATTATGACGCTGCGATAGAGTGAGAGAGAGAGAGAGAGAGAGATACAAAGCAGCAGTGGACGTCTCGATGTAGCGCAGTGCGGATTAATCGCAAGACTGATAAGCAGAATAAAAGAAGCGATAGCTGCGACACAGAGAGGCGGTGCAAATAGTTGTGTTTATAGCGCCTTTATTCGGAATTTTGGGCGGTGGGAATCGCTGTGTTTTTTATCAACGCGCAGCTACTTGTCGAAGCGGTGATTCAAATTATAGATTCATGCGACGTAAACAAATGTCGCTGGGAATCATAATGCGACGTGAGTTTGCTCCTTTCTCTCTTCCATTTTTTTTTTTTTTCGTATACCATTGCTCAAGGTTGAGTCTCCGGTTATCGTTTCCTTTTTTATTTTTTTTTATAGGAAACACGATGATGCTGATCGCCGTCCTGGCTGTGCTTGGACTGCTGAATTCGGTGGTTGGATTGGTGAAGTATCAACCCGAGGCCGTTCATTTGTCTTTCGGAGGTACGTCATTTACCTTTAATCAATGTGAATTATACTGTGTCAGAAAGATAAGATATGTTTGATTGTTCATACAGATGATGTTCACGACATTGTTGTTACATGGAGCACGAAACAGGATACTGGAGAGTCGATTGTTGAATATGGCATAGGAGGCATGATTCTCACAGCAACTGGTAACTCTACTCTCTTTGTCGATGGAGGCAAGAAAAAACACCAACAGTACATACACAGAGTGTGGTTGAAAGATCTGACACCTGGCAGTAAATACGGTGAGTCATTGTTGTTCTTTGTATCGGTTAAAGCTTTAATGTCGTCTTACTCAATGCTGTTGATTGATTGTTGCAGTTTATCACTGCGGTAGCCCTCTTGGTTGGTCTGACATGTTTTACTTCGAGACTGCACCCGAAGATCAAGAGAACTGGTCACCGGAGCTTGTCATATTTGGCGATATGGGCAATGAAAATGCTCAGAGCTTGGGTAGACTCCAAGACGAGACTCAGCGTGGCTTATATGATGCTGTTATTCATGTGGGTGATTTTGCCTACGACATGAATACTCACGATGCAAGAGTGGGCGATGAGTTCATGAAACAAATTCAGAGTGTTGCGGCTTACTTGCCTTACATGACTTGTGCTGGTAATCATGAAGAGAAATACAACTTCAGTAATTATAGGTAAGGCAATGGTACAATAAATTGTTTAGTTCAAATGTAATATTTCTTATCAATGTTTTTTATCGCTTTAGGGCTAGATTTACAATGCCTGGAGATTCTGAAGGCTTATTTTACAGTTTTAATATGGGACCCGTTCATTTTGTAGCGATTGAAACTGAAGCTTATTATTTTATGAATTATGGACTGAAGCAGCTAGTCAAACAATACGAGTGGCTAGACAACGACCTCACCGAGGCCAACAAGCCCGAGAACAGAGCTCAGCGACCCTGGATCGTGACGTTCGGCCACAGACCGATGTACTGCAGCAACGCCAACGCCGACGACTGCACCAATCACGAGACGCTCGTGCGCGTCGGTCTGCCCTTCTTCAACTGGTTCGGCCTGGAGGATCTGTTTTTCAAGCACAAGGTCGACCTGGAAATTTGGGCCCACGAGCACAGCTACGAGCGCCTATTTCCCATGTACAATTTTCGCGTGCAGAATGGCAGCCGCTCGGCACCCTACACGAATTACCGAGCGCCCGTGCACATAATCACCGGCTCCGCTGGTTGCAAGGAGGGCCGAGAAAAGTTCGTCCCGCGGCAGCCGTCGTGGTCGGCGTTCCGGAGCTCGGATTACGGCTATACCCGCATGAAGGCGTACAACAAGACCCATTTGTATTTGGAGCAGGTATCCGACGACAAAGAGGGCGAAGTCATTGACAGAGTTTGGTTGATCAAAGATGACATTTTACCCAGATACGTTGACGTACCGATGAAAAACTAAAGAGACCAAGTTTCTGCGACATCGATATCTTTAATTTATGTTTTAACTTTTCAAAGTATCGATATGTACATAATATCTGTGATTTAATCTTAAAATGCTTTGTAAAAGTATTTTTTTTTCTTGCAATTGAAGGATTATTAAAAGGTGACTTGGTATTTTATGCTCAAGTCGTTTTGAGTTCGTCGCTCTTGTTATCCTCACATATTTTCAAAAGTATTTTTCATCATATAATCACGTGGTTAATTTATTTCAAGTTGACTGTACTTTTGGTTCAATAAGAATTTATTTTTATAAAATTTATCTACGAAAATAATTGTTTCTTTATTTTGAACAATAATGTAACACAAAAGAGATTTAGTACGTATACAGTTATCATAAAATATATATTATATAAAACATATAAAATGTAGTTTGCTTACCATCGTGATTTCTTCATCCCCGTTTGTAACAATAACGTCCTATCAAATAATCCTATTAAAATTTCTAAATTACTAATTGTATGAGATTTCTAGTTAAAAAAGTATCATCATTGCCTAATTATTTTCATTGGACTTCTATATTTCAATCAAAAAGAATTTTTTTTCTAAACTAGGGTTGTTCTAATTTTTGTTCTAACTAGGATTGCTTAAAGAAAATACGGTAAATTTTCGTATAGTATTTTATTTATAAACGTCATATGTAAAAGACAATTTTCGCAAAATTTTACTCTTATCATTTTTCAAATTGTTTAATGATTGCAATATATAATATATTCGCTATAAATCTGACGAAGAAACATAATTTTGATATCGTCTACTAGACGAAAAAAAGGTCTTTTTTTGCACTGACTACGCTTTACAATTTAGAATAATGTAAAGAGAAGTCTTAAAACTTTAAAAAAATCTATCAGATTTAAAATATTTTTAAATGTACAATAATTATACAATATATAAATTATTATTATAATTATTATCACTGAAATAATACTTAACAAAGATCTTCCGTATAACAAATTCAATTAGCGATGATACGCATGTAGTGGCTTGCCCTTGATACAGAATAATGAAAAGCTTCGAGTTTTCTTGAGAATACAAATATTCGACCATCGAAGAAAACCAAGTGTAAATAATGAAAAAAAATCGACAAATTATATAAGCTCCTTTTTACATAACATATAGATTTATATTAATTAAAACCCCACACGTTAAAAATAAAGAAAATAAGTCCATAAAATTGTCATATGGATCACACATGAATGCAAATAAATATATTGGCTACGCGAAAAATGAAAAAAAAATTATAGTCTCAGCCAGCACAAGTAATTGATTTAACAAATAAATAAATTTAAAATTTCAAGACAACTCCTCTGCTTACCAACAGTTTTTAGCACAAGTGATCTATATTTAATATGTATAAATATGTATCATTAATAAATAAACCTGCCATTTATGGAGGATATGTATTTTAACCTATAGATTAGCAGTTTGCGTTTTTTTTTTTTAAGCATCACAGTTCTGTGAAAGGCGACACTCCGATCGATCGTCAATGTTTCTTCGTTTGTATTCCGTCTAAAAAAGAATGTAGAAAATTGCATTGAACTCGTGTTTCTTTTTTTAATTGCATACCTACAACAATAACAACAACATCAACAATAACGCATCGTCGTGTTCAAACGAAGCTTAAATCTAATATATAAATATCTGTAAGAAGCTTTTTGTCAAGGTTGTCGCGTGTACCGCTCTTAAGCGATTTCTTATTCACTATTATAAGTCTAATTATTTCGGCAGTATGCCAATCGTTTTAGAATGAATGAGAGTACGGGAGACGAAAAAAAGTTGATTTAGCTCAACCATTTTATGCCTCTCTTTTTCTCTCTCTTTCGTTTTTTTTTTTTCATTCTGGCAAAAGCCAATAGCAATATAAATTAGAACACGCTTCCATACTCATACAATTTTAAAATTCGCAAATTATCAATCGCTGATTGTAATGAGAACAATGATTTTTCAAATAATTTTGTAAATTGGCTACAAAAAGTCGAATTGTTCTGTCTTACACGAACAATCAATATAATTTCATAAAAATATCGTATGAAATATCAGACTTTCAAATGTTCAATTGTTTCTAGAAAATAATTGGTGCACGAATTGATAAGCTATTATCTAAATTCTCTTTAAATAGCTCTTCAATCACGTCTCAAAAATGGTATAAAAAATTACCAAAGACGTCACCAATTACTTTCCATTTAACTAATTACGATTTGCGGCAGTTTCATTATTATTATCAATAAATTCTTCAACCTCAAACAAAATTGGGTAAAAAAAAAAATTATACTAAACAAATCCAATGCAATTTTTCCATCAAGTAAAAATGTCAGTCAACGATCAAAAATCAGTGGACCTTATAGTTTGTTTGTTTTCTTTTTTCTTCTCCCGTAAATGTACAAAACGTTACGCCTCTCGTATTATTGCGGTTTTAATAAATAATAGGCCGTCAGTGATTGATGGAAATGGACGCGGACGTGGCGGCCGAGTGGCTCTCTTGATAAGAGAACTGCGGGAAGTGCTCGTTCTCCTCGACGATGCTGTTGAGGCCGCTGCTGCCCAGCACGCCGGGCTCGGGCGGCGTCAGCTCCACGCTCTCGCCGGTGAACTCGCTGTCGAAGTAGCGCGTGTCGGTGTCCGACGTCACCTGCGGCTTGAACGGAGGCGGTATTTTCTTTTGCACCAGATCCGACCAGTCAATGGAAGAGAAGAACGCGTGTTCCATTATGTCTTTGGCGTCGTTGGGACCGCCACCCAGACGCTTGTTGGGGTCCTTGATCAGGAGATCTGCGAGAAAAATAATGCACTTTTAGTCCGGGAGATCGAAATTTCGCATTCGCATAGTTTCGTCGACAACTCACTCCCTAACAAATCCTTGGCTTCGTTGCTCAGAGTCTTGGGGAACTTGACGGCCTCAAGAAGAATGAGGGTAAACAATTTCTCGTGATCCTTATTGTAAAATGGAAGTCTGCCGCACATCATCTCGTACATCACAACGCCGACGCCCCACCAGTCAACGGCTCGGCCGTAATCGTTGTCCTCTAATACCTCCGGAGCCAAGTACTCCGGTGTTCCACAAAAAGTCTTGGTCGTTGTTCCTGCGTGTTAAACAAATGAGAGATTTTTTATCCGAGCTCGATGTCTCTCCGTCGTCTCGCTAATGAAAACGTACCATACGTAATGTCTTCTTTGCACAGACCAAAATCTGCGATTTTAATGTGTCCGTCCTTGTCGAGTAATAAATTTTCTAGTTTTAAATCTCGATAAATGATGCCTTGCGAATGGAGATAGCCGAGAGCAGAAATGATCTCGGCACCGTAAAATCTTGTGCGATCTTCGCCGAAGACGCGCGATCGGCTCAGGTGAAAGAATAATTCACCGCCGTTCACGTATTCCATGACGAAACACAATCTGTCGGCCGTTTGAAAGCTGTACTTCAAAGACTGATGGAAAAACTCATTAGTTGCAAGGAATGTATAGGCGAATGTTTGAAATTTCATTAAATAAACTTACTATTAAAAATGGATGATTTGTTGTTCTTAAGACTCTGTTTTCAGTAAGTGTGTGGGCAACCTCATCTTTCTGTATAATCACTTCCTTTCTAAGAATTTTAATGGCATACAAATGTCCTGTAGTTTTTTCCCTGCACAGGATAACTTTGCCAAATGTACCTTTACCTAATACTTTCAAAAATTCAAAGTTCTCCAAAGTCTGAAAAAATGATTGAAGTATGTCATCTATATATCTGTGATAAATTCAGAAAAGGAAGGAATTTGGTCTAATACTTACAACTTTTTTCTTTCCAGAGCTTTTACTGCTGGATGTTCCTTGAACGCTGAACTTAGCAGATAATTCATCAAAACTTCCAGCACCAGCACCATTTGAAATAACTCCTGCCGAACTACCAGAATCAGATCTGCCTCCAGCTGATTCCATGTCAACATCTTCACTGGAAGAAGACTGTTGCATTTGTGTTTGTCCACCTTGAGCTTCGTGGGCCAATTTCTCAGCAACATATTTAATGGAATTGACCCAATCTTGTCTCTCTTGTTCTGAATCAACGTGGAAAGTTCTCTCAATAACAGTTGTCCACTGCAAACCTCTGATGATAAAAGTGAAAGGCTTGGGTCTGTCGATGGACATGATCTGACAACCTCTGACGGTGAAATTGTTGAGCGGCTGAGCAGTATTGGCTGTAAGGGTTTCTGGCTTCGTTTTGAATCCCACCAGAGTTCCATCCTCCCTGAGCACAAAATATCTCGATCGCCAGTTTTTTATATGTTCCCCTGTGCACAGAATAAAAGCATTTCAAATGAGTTCACTGGTGCAGCTAGAGCTATATAGTGATGAAACAAGACTTTGCAATGAATGTAAACAATTGTCATTACATAAGAAATACCAATTATTATCCGGCAAATTGAAGATGACAAAGCAGGAAATACTTTATCTCTCTGTCACGGCCGTAACGTTAATAATAAATCACGTCGTTTCTATATATACAGGGTAAGAGATATGTAAAATGCACGCGCGCGAGCGAAAGCAACAATAACCGATTGTTTGGAAAACAAAATATACCCTATAACCTAGAGGCAAAGCCGATTTAAGAGCAATATTAACAACTCGTTCGATTATTTCTAATAGAATTTCGAACGTCGTCGGGTGTTCGTGCGACAACATTTTAATTAGCGACGTTTTGACAATTACACACGATCGGCGCCGAAAAAAAAAAATAATAATAAACGAGCCGCTTTACGTCAATTATAAATTATATACAGCTCGCCCGGTTCGTAAACAAAGCGTGAGAAAGAACGTCACGCAGTGTCGCATTAAATCATCTTCGTGCGCGGTGCGTGGTGCGATGGTGCGTGCGTAATTCGCAATGCGTCTACATACAACGCGCGACGACGTGAATGTCGCGAGACAACGTCGAAGACGATCTCGATTACTCTTCGATAATTACCTCGCTTCTGGAGCCAGCCCTCCTTGACCACGCGATGCTCGCTCGACCATCCCGGCGGTGGCACCGCAGCCGCCGCTGCAGCCGACGTTGTCACCGGTCCATTGTTGCTGCTGCTCGTCGCCGCTGCTGCTACTGCTGCTGTGCTCGAAGCCGCGGACGGCGGGACGCTGCTCATTGTCGCGTCACTGCTCATCTTTTATCTCTTTCTTTTCGTTGCCTCTTCGCGTGGAATCTGATCTGAGAGAACGATTACACGAACGATGATTACGATGTTTATTAATTTGGACTTGTGTCGTATGTATATATATACGACGATGCACGCGCTCTCGCGTGTACGGTATGTAAAGAACAAAAAAAAAAAAAACACTCGACGACGACGAGGGGCGCACAGTGCACTGACACAGACACAGAGACACAGATATAACACACGCTTATACACTATATAAAACTCGTTTTGCGGAAAAAAGGAAAGTCACGCGAAGCAGCCGTGTGTGCCCGTATAAGCAATGTGTATTTTTTTTTGTATAAAAAAGTAACGCTGTCCCTCTGCGGCCGCGTGTGCACAAGCTATGTACACAATAATATATACAGAAACGCGTGCTTATATTACATAAAATATGTAACAATTTTATCCGCAATGTCGAACGAGAAGAGAAAAAGGAAATTCGACGAAATTCGGATATTGGCACACACACGCGATGACTGTCACACACCGACGATACAACGTGTTGCGGTTGATGCAAAAAAATGTTTCTCGACTTTTCAGCACACGCGCATTATATATATATATCTTACTTTATTATTATGTGATTAACACCGGGAGCAGCGCGGGCACATCACGAGCGGGCAGCAGGCGGCGAGAGACTGAATCGCGATCATTCCAAAAATCATGTTCTACGTATACGCGTGTGTACGTATAAACTTATGCGTGTATTGGTGCGCGCCCACTACATAGATATAATAACGCGCAGACGGCACTTTACTGTGCTGTGCTGCGCTGTGTGCCTGAAACGTCTATAAAGACTCCCCGCGCCGCGTTATATATGTATCTACTACATTACTACGCACTGCTATGCCGCCGCCGTCGCCGTCGAAGCCGTGCAGCCGCACGCACAGTTACATATCTTACGTACGAATCTCGTATGCACATGTATATAGTTGCCTTTAAATTTGTTTACTATATATATTTGAAATATCACCAACACTCACCCGAGAGAAAGAAAGAGTGAAAGACGAGCGTGTCTGAGTGTATAACAGTATAGTATAACAGTATAGTACAAAGGCACGTTTGTTTTTTTGCACGAAAATATTATTATACGCCTATATTGTCGTTGTTGTTGTTGTTTTTTCTTCCTTCGCGGCACTGTTATATTGGCCTGTTATTTTTGTTTCCTCTTCCTCGAAATAACGCATAATAATACGCGTCTTTGGTGTATATTTCAACATATATAAAAATTTTTTTCTTCTTCACATTTTCGCACTCTCCTGTATAAATATGTTTTATTGCTCTCTCGGCGTCTTCTGTATTAATACTTCCTCGAAATATGAATGGATTCACGTTTTTTTCGCGCGATATATACCCACACGTGTGTGTGTGTGTGCGAGAGAGTAAGAGTGAAATTAAAAGAAGAAGTTAATTCTCGATCGCGCGACTTTTTATTACCGTTATTATTGTTTTTCTAGTTAAAAGAGAAGCTGACACGCATAGTTTCGAGATATAGGCTCACGATGATAGATTATAAAATACGCGGATAGGAGGATACGCGCTTGAAAATAAATATATTTGCTTAGCCGAGCGAGAGAGAAAGAGGATGAAATAAAACGTCAGCGGTAATAAAGTATATTATAGGAGTGATGCAGCCGACTCGGCCGTGCACCAGCCACTGAAACTTGTGTGCACTTGTTGTTTATGTATTTTAGCAATATAGTATATAGCCGAGTATATATAATACGTTATTATTGTGCAAAACTCATGCTGCTGCAATATATGTGCACCGACTGCAGTCTGGCGGAGAAGGAGGCGGAGGGGGAAAAATGTTTCGACGCGTACAAAATAATAATGATAAATAAAACCGAGGATCCGAGTTATATATATTTGTATATTATACGAAGGTATAGAGGGGCGGACGGACACTCGTGCGCCGCTGCTGCTAATATGAACTGCAACAGCTTCCGAATGCCGCTGCAGTTCGCTGCTTCGGCGTTAGGAGGTGCATAATGCGCATCAAGTACCATGATGCAGACGATTTATAATAATAATAATAATAATAGTACCGGCGCGCCCGCGAGAATTGAAATCGTATCTCGAATTTTTCTCCAACACGAAATAAATCCGGAAACGTCGTCGAGGCTCTTTTTGTTATTTTGTGTTGACAAAAATTCGTGATGTAGGCGCGACGACGATGAGTAAGCGTTAGGTGTATAGTGAAAGCGGATGTTTTTCACGAAATTTCTTTCTCGTGTGCAGCTGCTGCTGCCGTTGTTGTTGTTGTGTATACATGTATATTATAAATACGAGAAGCGAGCACGTGTGTAATATCCGCGCGTCATCGTATTATTAACGATACGATATAAAGGGAACCGCGCATAACTTTAATACAAAACAACATGAGTTTATAATGGAGCGATGAATTTAGCTCTATACGAACTCGGTCGCGCGTGCTATCTAATCTTCTGCTCGTATTAATAGCCCCGTCGTGTTTATATGTGAAAATCAGATCTCGTGCGGCACTACGTAGTTTTTTCTTTATCTGGGCGCGCGAAACGAAACTTCATTGTCGTTGTACGTTTCGAATGTAAAGGTATACACGCGGCTCATGCCGGACTACGATCGGAAATTATGGTGTCTCCTCCTCTTTATCGCGTGTTTTTCTACAATCTCGTGTTTACCTAATGATGATGTTTATTTGCTTGGCGGATGAGATTCGTGAGAGATTGAAAGAAAGTAGCATATATCTGGTGAAGGTAGAAAAATATATTTTCTAAATGTATTATATGGCTATGATTATCACAGTACTGGGACCCAAGAGTCGATCAGTAAATGAGTTTAATTATTAACAATAGAACGGCTGCACTGCTGACTGCAGCGATCATCTTTCTTTTCTTTTTGCCAGATTTATTTGGTTTTTTGTCTTCGACGAGTGTTCCTTGAGTTCTTTCCTGAAATTATAATTCATGAATATTATTGAATCAAATTAAGTAAGGTTTGATAATGTAAGAGTTTAGCCAACCATAATTTCATCTATCGTTTTGTCCAATTCGGTTACTTCGTTTAAAATAGAGTTAGTGGCAATCATTAGGGCATCTGATGTTGTCAAATTTTTTTCACAATCAAAATATTGATTCTCTTCTTTCTTCAGTACAGAGAGTACAAATTTCAAGAAGATTGTTATAACGCACAACTGCTTGTATTCATTATTGAGGATTTTTTCCCAATCGCCAGATCTGTCAAAGTACAACAATTAGTTACTGCAAATGAAATAAACAACAAAGAAAAGTTGTAACAACTGAATTCATACTCTATTTTCAACTGTTTGTTGGCGAATCTCTTCTGCAAACTCTCTTGCATTTGTTTGAAAGTGTTCTTGTTAAAACTCTCTCCAGGATCTGATTGAAATCATCAACAATAACAAAAAAATTATAACCCCATGACAGTGCGACAAAACCTTATAAACAATAATTACCCAGAACACTCAAATCCTCATCGGTGACATATTGAAGATCTTCCAAGGATATTCCTCTTTCGATAAAGTTGGATAGGTTAGCGACACCCAGGCCAGTCAAAATTGCCACCGTTTCTCTGCTGCAAAGGGTCGGGTCGTTCAGTTCGTTGTCGTAGCTCATTTTTACCCAACTTAATTGCGTGGGCAACGTTTCAGAGATTAAAAATTCAACGATTCGTTGAAAGGGTCGAGGAGGATTCTTTTTTTACTTCTTTGTGCACACTGACATTAGCGGAAGTGCGGTCCGAAGTGCCCGAAAGACCCGTCACGTGTATTTGCAAAACTGGCGGTACTGCTGGTGGCGGTAGGTGGGGGGTAGATTAGAGCTTACGCACAAAGGACCGCGCGTAATAGGCCCATATCGAAGCTTTCATTCGAGCAGTCGATGAATTTTGTTCTCATTTTTATTTTCCAAAGACGATTGCGCAATCCGCGATCGGTTCGTAATCGGCAGACAATTTGGGAGTCGGATGAATTGTCAAATTTTAATCACCTTGACGGACAAGCTGAAAAACAACGACGCGCATTACAAATGGAAATTATCACTTGCGCGCGTTAAATAGCACGTGGGCACTAATTTTGTTTTTGGTAATTAAAAAACAAGTCGTATAGGTGATAATTCTCCCGAAGCTTCAATAACAACTCATCAATTTCATAAGTCGAAAATCGTGTTTACCGTCTGGATCATGCGACACGCTGCTTACCGATGAATATGAAGTGTTGATCGGGAAACGGATCGTTATGAAAGCAACAATCATGTGCGATGTTAACAAACTTGTTTTTTATTACATCCCAAGGAAATTAACATATCTCCAGATTTAGTTCAACAGCTTTAATAATTTACTCTGATATAAGTTATCAATATAACAGACATAACTATTGGGCTACACTTTGAAGAATTTCCGTGATTATATAGATACGTCAGTGTGAGCTTTTTTTTTTTTATAAAACAGTCGAGCGTGTATAAATAATAATTTTTTTTTTTAACGAATCGAATGTTCATTTGGAACGTACAGACGATTACAACTTTCCGTAACAATTATAGTATTGTAAAAACTAGTTTAACGTTTATTTTTTTTATTATTATTATCATAATTTAATATGTAACATTTTTATCATTGACGTAACATTTTGTTTCCTAATAAAGCATTTTTATAGAAAAACTTGAATATATATTTCTATCTATACGATTTTAAAAAGACAATTTAAAAAGTCGTTGTTAATGACTATAAGTACATCTGTAAAGAAAAACTATTTGTGATTTTCCCTTTGCGAAAAAATAACGAGTCATATTGCGGCGACTAGATAGGTTTTTTTTTTGTTTTGTTTTGCTCTCTGTCATCTAATTAAATTACAAACACCGCGGGGCAGTTTGCGCAGTTTCTCTAAACAGACGATTCACATAGAAATTTTGTATAAAAAAATATATGTATTTTTTTTTTATCTCTTCATTCGAACGCGACGCTATTATCGTTGCTGCATGACGCTAGCTGTTGCTGTAGCGATTGACATGGATGGCGTGCTTCTCCGCGTGGAACGTTTTGAAAATTTGATTAATGACGGGCGACACCTGTGGATCCTTCATCCATATGGTCGTTGACGAGGGTGTCTCCAACATCGACAGGTAAGCTGGAAAATCATGAAAAATTATCGCGATAAAGTATGGGTCGTATTTAAAAATCGTGCGAAAAAGCACACCGTACCGAGTAGCATTTTTGGATTCGTGAGGCTCAATTGAATTTGTGGATTGCTCATGATAGCCTCGTAAATTGGACTCTTAGGATCAATCCCTTCATATAAATTATCTAGACTGTAATGCCTCTCTCCTACTAACCAAGCGCACTGAAAATTTTACAAATACCAATTAATTTACATTCAGATGGTGAAAAATGCCTAAATTTCGTTTAGAAATTTACTGAATAATCTTACAGCGTTGGTTGAATGATTTCCAGTAATTTTCAGTGTTTCTAAAATTTGTTTTTTTTCAAATCCCATTTCTTCAAAAGATTCCACTAAATGTGGATCAGGTTTGAAATCTAATTTAAGGTAATGTATATAACTATCTAATAAGAGATTAACAATTTTAACTAGGTTTGGCTTTCTATTTTCTTCTTGACCTGAAAAAAATAAAAAAAAGGTTTGAATTCACAGAACTAAAATTACATTTTGTTTTATGAACACTTACTTGATGAACTAGGTCCAGCTTCTTCTAATATTGATTCCAACAAAGGTAGCTGCAATTCCTCAGTATCTTCTGGGTCATCTTCATGTTCAACTAGCCACTCCAGAGCTTCAGATGTATTCATTCTGTCAAAGCAATAAAAAGTTTCATTATTGAGCAAAGTCAATTTGAAAACTCTAATAGATGTTAACATACTTTCTAAGTTGAAGAGCCCTCAATGCTTTTCTTTCAGAAAATCCCATGTCAACTAAAAATTTCACAGCTTTTGGGTCATTGGGAGGTTTCAATTGAACTTCTAGTTTTTCTTTTATTATGGCGTAAAACTGCACAGCTTCAGGACTGTGCATCAGAATTTTAGCAGAAGCTTGCACCAAAGTGACTAATATTCTTCGTGTTTCGGCTTGGAACTAAAATCAAGAAAGATTTCACAATAGAATCCAGTACAAATACAAAATTTACCAAATTTTTTGAACGCGCTTACATCAAATGGAAAGTCAGCAGCCATCACTGGCTTTGGAGGATTCTTAACTGGCAAATCTGCTGTAGCACTCAATATTTGCTCCATCGATGGTCCTCTTATCACGTCATCTGCCAAAGTATCCTTTTCCGGTGGGCTTCTTGTTTTAACCAACATAAGTTCATCTGTGAAAATGAACATGTGCTCAATTACATTGAATCATAATATTTTGAATCTAACTGTAAATCTTACCAGAATCAGAAATGTGTTCCTCTGACAGTTTTTTCTCATCCAACAGAGGTTTCAGTTGGGTCGCATGCACCAGTCGATAGTTCTTTGCAGGATGTTGCTTGTCGTGCCCATAAAAGTGCTCGATCGCCAGCGTCTTCACTTGTTCGAATGTGAAATCCGTCGACACTGGGACGTACATGACCTTTCCTTCGATTCTGTTCGTTGTAAACAAGGATTTTAGCAATGATCCAAATTTCGATGTGGATAAAGGAGAGCGAATCCTCACTCACCCAATGACGCTTATGGTAAAGCTCTCGGCCAGCGAGGTCGAGGGCAGCGGATCGTCTGAATTATTGGCGGAGCTTTTCTTGCTGCTCTTGGAGCTTCGCCTGCTGTTCCAGGCCTCTGTCAACTGCTCCTTCATCCATGGAAACATCATTTATGAGTCCCTGCGAGAACAGAAAATAAACAAACCTCATCGCACCTCGTCGAACACAGCTGTCCCCATCGTGCGTAACGCGTAGTTTTATGCACACAACGGCAAAACAAAAAGCACAGACATCGAAGTGTACAGAAAATGCAGGTTATCACCTTTTTTATTATTACGACGAGCGACACGGAGAGTCAATCGCAGAGACCATAACCACCGTCAGCATTTCGCGAAACTCGCTGTTGCTGCTGCTGCTGCTGTTGTTTGGCTCGACGACTCGATCGCGCGATATATGGATTATATTGCAATATTGCATGTAGAGTACGCATGTGTATACACAAACGAGAGCGAAGCAACGTCACGATCGCCGCAGAGTGAGAGAGAGAGAGAAAGAGTTTGACAATCTAGATCTCGAGGCGCGAGCTGACCAATACGCGATATAGGTATATGTATGTTGACGTATCGTAATAATGCACCTACTCTGTGTGCGTAAGTGCGGGGCCAGCAGTTTTTTACGCAGAGAATCGTCGTGTCCGCTCGTTTATTATTGTATCGATTGCTATAAAAATAGAACTCAACGCGGGAAATTTCGTTTCAATTTTTCTAATATTAAATAAAAAACGCGTGTCGGATCGCGATGCGGTCGAGAGCGAGAGACCGTCTGCTGCTGCAGTACACGACCCTTTGAAAAACATAGCAGCAGCGCGTAAAACGTCATGCACGCCATATCCATTATGTGCGTGTTATATTATGACATAATGCCTGTGTGTGTGTGTGCGTGTGTGCCCTACATATACCTGTATATATATATTGCGCGCACCACACACGCAGGGGTCATGCGACATAGCAGACTGCTGTGTACATATAATATGCGCCGCCGCACCTGCGCGCATGACACACACTCGAAGGGGTTGCTGCGGACGACCCCCCGCGCAGCAGTACTATATACAAGTCCCTATCCTCTACCTCTAATCTAATACCCACTTGTCGTCTGGTGTTTGTATATATATAGGTAGCAGCAGCAGCAGCAGAAGGCCTCGCGCGCGGGGATAGTGCACTGCACCCCCTGAGCAGTGTATCCAGTCTACAGTATATACCGCGATATATAAGAGAATCAATCGGTCGCGGGCGGCGCGTCAAAACAAGAGTTCGAGAGATTAAACAATCTATATATACCTGTATATAGCAGTAATAATAAAACCCCCTGTTGCGCGCAATCGCCGAGTGTTTGTGCCCGTGTGCAGGTGCATATATAAGATAGTGACCGCCGCGGCGCGCGGACGATGATTACGATAAGAGCGGTAAGAGTCCCCCAGCACGACCACAGGGCCTGCATGATCCGTTCGCGTCATTATTATTTCATACCGTAGAGAAGAAAAAGGGGTCGTAATTTTTTGGTGTATAATATCGACGTCGAGTAGGCATGAGCTGGCGCATCGTAAACGGGGTGTGTTTGCGGCCGCAACGACGACGTAGTACTATAATGCGCGCGGCCAACAATAATAAAGTATTCATCCAGGCAGTATTAAAAATTTAGGCGGAATCATCGAGCGTGTTTCGTACGCGTTACTCTGGCTTTGTTATTATCGCGTATTAATGTTATACCCAGTTTAAGGGTTGCAATTGCGGAGGGCGCACACGCGTGAGATGTCACAACAACAATAATAATAATAATAAATAATAAATAATAATTATAAGAAGAATCGCGAGTGATTTTTCGGTTTGTGTTTTTGGCAAAAATGAGCCAAGATCAGTGCACCGATGTGATAAGCCAAGGACCAACGCCGGACGAGGACGCGAGCATAGGAGCCAAAGTAATTGACAATTTTTTTTTTTCTTCAAATCACACGATTATCGTTATGAATTATTTTCCGCAGAGGAGCTACATGGAGGAGAATTTTCAAACGAATCCGTTTTACGAGGCTACGTCGACGGCTAAGGCCGAGCTTGCATCGTCGCCGACGTCGTCGTTGAGCCGCGCCGTCGCCGCCGCCACCGAATCCATGAGTCAAGAGTCAATTAACCCCGAAAGCTTCGCTAGCTCGTACTACGCGCACACGGGCGCGGTGCCCAAGGGGAGCGGCGGCGTCGGTGGCATCAGTAGCGGCGCGCACGTGAAGATGAAAAAATTCAAAAGCGCCACGGAGGAGCTGAGCGAGGCCAAGGAGACGTACAGCGCGCTGCTGCGTATGGCAGCCGAGCCCAACCGACAGAACTTCAATGCTTTTTGTGAGCCACTACTATAATATAGACACTTGCTCTTCTTCTTTCTTTCTTTTCTTCTTGGTCGTTGAATCTCTCTTTCTTTATATCGATATATATATAGGCGAGGAGAAACGGGATCAACTGAGAGAGGTGAGAGAGGAGTCGACCAAGCTGCTGGAGCTGAGGGCCATCGCGCGTCAGCTGCACAACGACCTGCCCACGGACGACGACAAGAACCCGGACCTGATCGAGGCCAAGATGCAGAGCGTCTTTCAGAAGCTGGAACGATTGAACCTGGGCCTCGAGCAGCTGCAGATAGCTCACGACATGAAATTTCAAGACTGATTAAATAGATTTAATCGATTATTAATTAATTATTAATTATCATTGAACCCTCAAAGTATTGTCGTAAATATTTTTTATATTTTGTTTTCGTTTTATACACTAATATATATTATATTATAGTTATACATCTATATTTAATTATTTAATACATAAAATATACAATCAATATAAATAATTTATATCATCAATACATATCACATTTCTTTGCTGCAAAATATATTATATGAACTTTCAAGTTAATACGGTGATATTTACCTCAATAAATGTATAAATCTCTGATGACATAATATGTGTTTCTGTCCACCCCCTTCTCTCTTCAAAACATCAAAAAGCTTTAACAAGTGCATTTATTACATCATAAATATAGCAGGAATGATCAAGAGTCAACATGATTATGGAAAACGGCAGCGTCGCTTATGCATATGTTTCAATATAGAATAAACGTGTATCTCTTTTCTTCTTTCTTCTTCAAACAAGCCAGAGTAGTAACGATTTTCAAGCCGTGTAGGCCAGCGCGAGTCCTCGAGCCGCTCGGGCGCGCACGAAGTTCTCCTGATCCTTCAGCAACTGCAACAGCCGCTGAATTTCGTCGGGTCGGGGCTCGCCGAACAGTCCGAGCAGCAGGGCCGACGTCGACCTCGTCACGGCGTTCTCCGAGCGTGAGTAGCCTCGCACCACGGCGTTTCTCAATTCCTCGCTTCGGTCGGGCAAGTCCTGCCTCAAGCAGACGATGAGCTCGCGGAAAAAGTTCTCGATGGACGACGACGACGACGAGGTCGAGTCGTTGTCCTTGTCCGGGCCGAGGTGCGACTCGATCGCGTAGGCCAGCGACTTGCACTGCATCAGGTAGGCCGCGTTGCGGAGCACTTGGCGCGCCGCCTGGGCCACGTCCCGCGAGCGATCCTCGAGCTTGACGGCGAGACAGGGAAGACAGCCGAGGAGATGATCGGTCACGTCGTCGTCCGTGGGCGAGTCGGCGGTGAATCTCTGCCAGGCCAGGGTGAGCGCGCCCATCGCCCGGAGCGCGGCCAGCCTCGCCTCGACGTTCTCCCGCTCGACGAACGGTTTGAGCGCCAGAACGACTCGGGGACTCACCGGTTTCGATGTTTTCACGGATAGAAGTACGGCCAGACCCTTGAGAGACTCGAGGATCACGTCGGCGCTGCCGTCGGTGGCTCCCAAAGGTTCCTCCAAACCGTCCAGCAACGAAGATAGACAATTTTCGAAATGTTCCTCGACCTAAATATATCAGAAAAATATTTGCGTTAATTACGAGCGGAAGAAAAAACTGTGCCGAAATCTCACCAAACTGGGCTCGAGCTGGGCTATGCTGGTCAATCCTCGGGTCGCTATCTTCCTGACCAGGGCCGACGAGTCGGCCTTGGCCTCGTGCAGGGTGTTGACGATGGCGTCGAGCCAGACGCTGCTGTCCTGAGCGCCCTCGGCCACCTGTCCCAGGGTCTCGGCGTACAGGGCGATGGCCAGGGCGCGCTGCGCGGGCAGCGGCCGCGTCACCAGGCGGCCCGAGCGACGCACCAGCCTCAGCAGAGCGTCGGGACGGGCGGAGCGCAGCGCCGCGACGACCTCGCGCACCAGCAGCACGAGGCCCTCCTCGGGCTCGCGAAAACGATCGGCGAAGAACGACTGCGTGAATAAAAATGATACAATTAGTAAAAAAATAATCATTACGCGTATTGAAAAGCGTGAAAATTGAATGATAATATTGAAATTTTGTTTTTATGTAAAATTATGTTTTTATAAATCTTAAGTCTAGTACCTCTAATTATTTAAATTCCAGGATTGATCTGCAACGAGTTATGATTTCAAATTTTTGCATTGCGTGTATCTGAATGCAATTTTTAAGTAATTTGGATTCTTGGCGTTACAGAGCTTTATAATTAAATTCTTTTCCACCTGAATGGAGCAGATTTTTGACTAAATTATTTATCCAATCTATTGAAAACTAGCAATAACCGTTGAAAAAGCTATTTTTGGCATTTTTTTTATTCAAGCATGTAAAAAATGTTTTTAGCCTTTTCTTGAAATTCTTTTCCACTCAAGTGAAAGAAGAAAATATAACAACAATTTTGAAACACCAAGGGTCTAAATTGGTCAATAATTACATTCAGATTCATGCAGCTCGGCACCTTGGAATCATAAATCCTGGATTAATTTAAGTAATCACAAGCTCCAGATGCATAGTTTTACATCGGAAAACAAAAAAAAAAATCTCAACATTAACGTGTAATTTTGGTGTTGTTCGATCGCGTCCTTACCACGGCGAAACTGTCGTTGTCGACGGCGTCCTTGCGCACGGTGAGCGCGACGACGCGAGCCAGCACGGCGAACGCCTCGGCGTACGGGTCGAGCTTGCAGCTGGCCCGATTCGGCACGAAGCCGTACTTGGTGCTGCCGACGCTGGACATGGGCGGGTCGCAGTGCAGCCAGCCGGCCACGTGCTCGAGCATGGCTGCCAGAAGCTCGGCGAGCTGCTGCTCGGCCAGGCGCTCCGCCGTCTCGGCGTCGCCGTGCAGCAGCTGGCCTATCGCGCAGACGGCGGCCAGCGAGCCGAAGCTCGCGGTGGGTCGTTTCTGCTTCTTGTTGTTGCTGTTGTTACCGTTACTGTTGCTACCGTTGTTGTTTCCGTTGGTCTTGACCTGTGGCGACGACAGGTCGTCGAAGACCGCCTCGACGACGACGAGATTCTCGCTCTCGAGGCGTCGCAGCAGCAGCTCGAGCACCGTCGAGCCGACCACCTGATCCCGATCCTCGTCGACGTCGCTGCTGCTGCTGCCGAGCTGGCGCCAGCACTCCTTGCAGCCCCTGTCCAGGGGCAGCGGCTGGCGCAGCAGGTGCTCCACCACGGACTGCGAGTGGTGACGCGCCAGCGACTGCACCGCGATGGCGGCCCCGTGACGACACATCGGATTCTCCGTCTGGCGGATCTGGGCGATTACGCTGTCTGCAAGCACGATCGATGTCGTTTACGTTATTTTCATAGTTATAATATACAATTTTTCGTATCCAGGGCGACTGCACTAATACCCAGCCACTTTTATTCTAGTCTTAGAAACGTTTGAAAAAGTTTGAATATGAATAATCATTGCCTGAAATTTTCATTTGCTCGAATTTACGACTTGATATCTTGAGGGGACTAAAAAATAGCTGTTGTCAGTCAATGAATATTATAAAATTCATAATTCCACAGACGTTAAGTACGAATCAACTTACATTTCAATGAGTCTAATTTTTGTTTTACATGCATTGTATTGAGAATCAGCATGACATTGTCAAAAAATCAATTACCAAAAACTTTTGAATTTAAAATTACGGCGACTACAATTTTTTTTACGAATCGAGGAAGCTTTTGTGAACAGCGGGTATCGTTGAAACAGTCACCCCAGCGAAACGCTGTCGAGATCGACTCACCGACTAGAAACATGCTCGATCTCGGTATGTCCATGCCGCGCTGCTGGAAGAGCACGGATAGCGCGAGGCCGGCTGCGATGCCGCCGTCGCCGCGATTCAGCAGGCCCTCGATCAGGCCCTCGGCGCAGCTCACCACCTCGGCGCTGGCCACCCTCTGACACGAAGCTAGTGCCAAATTCTGCCGAAGGAAATTCAGAAAATCGTTACATACATTCGTCTCAAAGCTTTTTATTATTACTATCGTACCCTGACGCCCTTGAACAGTACTGCGCTGTCCTCGCTGATGATGATGCGCTTGGCCTCGCTTATGTCCTCGCTCAGACTGTTGTCGGGCGCCGTCGATCTGTGTCGCGCCCCGATGTTCAGCGCCAGCGCCACGCAGTCCACCACGAGGGGCCTCAGGCCGGGCGCCGCATCGGCCGCCCAGCCCAGGAATCGGCCCAGCAGCAGACCCGGCTCGAGCTTGCCGCCCGGATACGTGTACTTGAGGGAGTCGTGATAGGTGCGCAGAGTGGAGCGCAGCACCAGCAGCGTGCAGCGTCGCTCGGCCTCGGACCGCGACTGCATCCAGGGCAGCAGCACGTCCGCGAGCAGCGCCAGGGTGTCGGCCGAGTTGGCCACGAGCTCGCTGCCGATGGCCGCGAGACTGTCGACGATCTGCTGGGCGACGCCCGGCAGACTGAGCTGCGAGATCGGCTCGCTGGCGCCTATGACCTTGTCCATGCACGACTCGAGGATCTGGCGCTTGTCCTCGGAGCTCAGCAGCGGTGGTAGTTTACTGCAGAACGAAACGAAAAAAATCACGAATGAATACGACAAAGCTCGACTTTATAAAAATCTATAAATCTTGCTCACATGAGCGCTATGATGGCCTTCAGCATCAGCGGATAGATCTGCAGCGGTCTCGCGCCATTCGACGACTGGAACAGCTGCAGAATGGCCTGTAGCGCGACGGGCCTCGCCGCGAGCTCCCTGGGCTCGTCCAGTCGATGGGGCGCCAGGGCGCACTGCTCCACGGCCAGCAGGCCGGCCTCCTTGGTGCCGAGCTCGCGGCACTCCTGCAGCTGTCTCACGGCCCAGGGCATCACGTGGCGCTCCAGGCTGGCCATCAGCTGGCCCGCAGCGGCCTGCCGGCAGATCTCCGCGTAGGCGTGCAGCAGTCCGGCCTTGGCCGCCTCGAGGCTCGCCGCCTGCTTGGCGTCCCGCATGAAGCCGAGCAGCTTGAGCGGCTGCTTGCGCGCGTCCTCGACGTTGCAGTACTCCTCGACGAGGCGCAGTGTGAGCTCGAGACGGGGATTATTGTTGTCGTTGTCGTCGCCGGTACTACCCCGAGCGCATATGCCCACCGCGCGGGCGTACTCGTCGACGAGCGAGGTCGTGCCCTGGCTGTTGACGCTGTGCTGGCGCACCAGTTGGATGAGGCTGGCGATCTGCGCCGAGTCCTGGGCCACCGAGGCGAAGCAGATGGCCAGCGACGGGCTCATGCGTCGCTGGGCCAGTTCCTGGGCGAGCTCCGAGGCCCAGGCCTCGCCCTCGAGCTCGCGCGACTCCTCCAAAAACTCGACCAGTCGGTCCTCCCAGGCGAGGGTCTGCTCGAGGCGATCGTGCGCCGTCGTCGCCTCGATCGCGGCCCTCTGGCCGTCCTCGAGGTAGCGCACAAGCTCGGCGAGCTTGCTGGACCAGTGCTCGTGCAGACGCTGCTGCTGGCCGAACAGCGGCGCGGCGCTGCGCAGGAACTTGAGCACGGCCACTCGATTCTGCTCCTGCTCGAGCAGCTCGAGGCAGCGCGCCAGCACCTTGACGCTCCGGAAGTCCTTGAGCAGTCTGTCCCGATGCTCCTCGTTGGGAAGAATTTTCTGCGCCAGCGGATCGAGGGCGCGAAGGATCGCCGCGGCCGAGGCGTAGTAGGTCGTGTCGAGGAGCGCGGCGACCAGTGCCGGCCACAGCCAGAGCTCGGCGCCGTGCACGGTGCTCGAGAGCAGGTGGAGGGCCTCCTCGCAGGCCTCGCCCTCCTCGCCGCGCGTGCCGCAGTGCAGCACCATGAACTTGATGAAGGCCGAGCGCTGAGTGGGCAGCACCGGGAACTTGGGCCTGGCGGCCAGGGCGACGATCGCCCCGACGACGAGGCGAGTGTTGCCCTCGCTCAGCGAGTCCTGCAGATTCACGGCTATCTTCTGCAGGGCAACCTCGTCCTCCGGTGGCAGAGTGTTGACGAGATGGCGGATGACCACCAGGGCTCTGGAGCGTTGATTGGTGTTCTGCGATTTCAGCAGATGCAGTACTCTGTGAAAAAGGTGGACGTGATATTGAAATGAGTAAATTGCAGCGAGTGCAGCGAGAGAGAGAATGTATTTTTTTTTTATGCGTGCCTGTCCAATCCTTCGTCGGGAAACAGAACGACTATGGCTCTGAAGCACTGGAGTACCTCGTAATGAGTCAGCAGGACCTCTCGCACGGCTTCGAAAGGGGTGGCGCTCACCATGTCGAGAAGTATCTGATGCAATTGATCCAGATACGGCCTGAGTATCTCTTTGACTTCGTTGTTGGCTCTGACTAGCAGTATCGATAATACACTGGATGCCGAATATCTAAAGCTAGGTTTCTTACAAAAGTTCAATAATATTGGAATCAGCCTGATGATGAGCTTATCATCGGCAATTTGTGGCAACAATGGTAAAATAGAGGCCATGGCGAATAAAATCTTCTCCGTGAGGTTGTGAACGCGACAGACTCTGAGCCAATTGTAGCACAGCACTTCGAAGGCTGTAGATAATTCTTCGTAATAAATATCCTTGTTTAAGCCTGAATTAGCCAATTTAGAATTTGTGAGGCAGTCGCTGATTGCGTCTGATATTTTTTTCAGAGCTGCAACGTTTTACATTTTTCTTAATGATTTGTTTTACAGGAATTTTTTGAACAGAAGATAAAAAATCTTACTGGATGCAGTTGCATATTTTGCTTGGTCCTCTTTTATTCCAGACATTAGGGGTGTTAAAACGCTCAGAGTTACTTTGATAAATGGGAGCATATCAGTTGGATATTTTTCAGCAATATCTCCAATAGTTTCAATTATTTTATGATGTGGTACAACATTTGGTTCAAATCTAAAATAAGATGTTGTTTGATGAAATGTCAAATTAAAACCTCAACTACTTCAACTTACCTAATTATCAAAGCTCCAATTACTTGCGGACACTGGACTTTGGTTAAACTGACAAGTAGTTTGATGGCTTGGTCGAAATCACGATCCTCAAGCTCTAACAAAGCTAAATCGGCCACAGATGTAGCCAAATTGTGATCCATTTTTATAACATGATATTCTATGATATCCGTCAAAATTTTCAACAACGAATTCAAACGGACATCAGTCTGTAATAATATGCATAAATATCATACATATGTTGTAAAATATTATGTTTAGGTCATGTAAAAAAAAATTAATTCTTCATAATCATACTTTTCTCTGTGATTTCCAAAATTTTACTGAAGATTCAATTACAGTAATTGGTTCTATCTTGGCAATTTTTTTCAATGCTTCAACCACAGATAGATGAACAGTTTCATCCTTATCATTCAAGGTTACCAGTAGAGCTTCAACAGTAGCTATAATTTATTAAATAAATTAAGTGTCCTTCATTCCAAAAGTTACATATTTTCTAATGTTATTTATCAATTACCTGAAAGCTCTGTATTTTTATTGTTCGCTTCATCGTCTTCCATGATTGTGGAAGTGGTCATAAGTGTTTATTGTGTGGAATAATTATCTTGAAACTGTTTGAAATATATTATCATTATTTACACTTTCAAATGGATTATATTGATTCAAATGCTTTATCACCCACATATACACAAACTTAATACTTATAATAATATAAGTTCGAAAATGCAGCAGTAACCTTACTCGATATAATTTTATGCTGTATCAGAATACTTTCAAACTCAATAAATATTTATTGCATTTTGTTATAAAACATTTACCGAAGGCCACTTATCAAGTGGATATACATTGAATAAAATTATACCAACCGGATTGAGGTTATAATCTCAGCTGTTACTGATCAGATTACAAAGGAAAATATACCTATATGTATAAAGTCAGTACTGCAATGCACATACTTTACACTCTGCGACCATAATCTTGTATGACAGGTCGTCTGCTGGATAGTATATCAAGTTATAGGATAGGTTTTAAAAATCAATGAATATGTCATCATGTATGTGCTAGTTTTCTTATGTGGAATGATTTGGTTTTTTTTTTGTAATAAATCATAGATTAAAACTGAATAGTAGGTTTTATATTGACATTTTATTGTAATGTAAATAAACACATCAAATTGTGATCGATCAACCAGGGCCAACTAATAAAATGCATTAAATTTACATTTCAATGTCGCAATGCTTTAAAAATTAAAAAAAAACATGCCTAACTTTATATGTACATCACAAGCTTCTTCGCTATTAAAAAAAAACAACTTTAACATACAGAATTTAATAGAGCTACTCGTGGATTCATTCAAATTGGTTCATCTTCTTTTACATGCTTGGTGATGCCATTAGGTCTATGCCTTTGCACTCCAGTGCAATTTTGACTCCCAGGGCAAAGACACCGATGCCCTTTACCAGCGACCTGTACAAATAAAAACAGAATGATTAAAATTTATATTTTCAATCTATCATTCTCAATATTGTTAGTGGATGATCGACAAGGCAAGGAGCGATTTTACTTTGCTTTCATGATTTAACAGGTTTGCTTGACCTTCTGATAGAACAGTGTCCAACTGACAAAGACTCAAAGAAAAATATCTGGCTACTCTTTGCTTGAAAATATTAAATATAAGTCCAAGAGTAAGTGCCAAAAAAGATGGTTTATACTTATATGCAGAGGAGAGTGTCGCAATAAGAATAGAATGCAAAAAAGTTGAAAAATTTGTCAAAAAACTTGGCAGTTGATGATATTGAGATACTTTGTACATGCAACTAGTAGATACAGCTATCAAATACTGCTGCCAAAATTTAAATACGAAACAGGTGTGTATATTCATGACACTTCAACAAGTACCGGCTTGAACAATACATTATTCAATTCAAAAACAATTACAACCTAATTTTAACGCAAAAATCAGTAAAACTCAAAATAAATTCAACATAGCCTTGGCGTTTTGAAACACGATTGTCACCAACTCCCTTCATAGAAATGCAATAACCAACGATTCAACAAACTCACCATTTGAAGGGGTCGTAGTAAAAGCTCTGGATGTACTTCTTCATCGACGTCATCTTTTGATTTTATTTATTTATACAGTTTTTAATCCGAAAAAAAACGATTCGACTGCGGTCGCAATTTTAACACGTTCGGAGCTCGCTCGCGTGCTTGATAGCGTGTATTTTCTGGACTACCACACTCGGGGAGGGAGGTTAGAAAATAATTAAAAAACGTACCGTCGTCGGGTACAGTCGCTGATGTCATCGCGGAGCAGCCGACTTCAGCGCGCTCTTTATGATCGATACGTGTAATGTCCATAATGTATTCATTTGTCAGCGCGACTTTTTCACACGTGCTGCACCTGCCATGCAGTACGACTGCAAAAAATTTAAAGGGACTTTGGTTTTTTTTTTATTTTATCGTCTTCAATTTGAGAATTCTCAAAACGTAATACTTGATCGCGTGCAATCGTCGCTTTCAAATTTGAACTTCCGAATCTTAATCGATTCTTCGGTAACACGAAACGTATCAATCGTCAAAACGAAACAAAGAATCCACTTCGTTCAACGAAATTTTCCTTACCCTCGCTCTGTGTACCATATCAGTGTCTAATCATTTATCGCGCGAATTTTCCGAACTACAAAACGCGCTGCACGTGACAAATATATAACGCGTTTCGCGCGCGACATTCTGCCGCTAAATATCGTTCAACAAAAAGAAAAGGGCGATCGAGTATCATCAACTCGTATCGATGCGTTCATAAACAAAACAAAAACGAAAAAAAAAAAACAAAGTAAGTACAGTCGCTCCTAGCAAATACAATCGTACATTTAATCGCAATGCGAATATCCTCCTACTATACATCGCTGCTCGCTCGCTCGGCAACACGCACAAACACGCGCGGGGGGGCTTTTATAGAAAACATATACAGGCGAAAAAGGGGAGTCGCGCATCACTCTCTTTCCCAGAGAGCCTTTCCAGACTGCTGAGTCTGGGCTCTCTCTCTCTCTCTCTCTCACACACACACACTATACTCGAGACGCGCGTATCGCTGTGTGTATACTAGTAGTAGTATGCGCGTTTGCGAAAATCATATTGCGCTCTCGGTGCACCACAGCAGTCGCAGTACATAGTCTCTCTCTAGCTAGCTTTATAGTATCACAAGTCCGCGCGGCAGTAGCGAGCGAAACGTCGAGCGAGTATCAAGCCCTGAAGTCTCTCTCGAGAATCGCTGCACACACATACAGAGCTGCAGCCGTGTGCCGCTTATAAGCTATATACAACGCGCGACTCCTCTTTTTCCTTCTCTCTCTCTCTCTGGCGGAGCAGCGCTCGCCCAACTCCGTATTATAAATATACATATAGGAGGAGGATATCGTACCGTGCATTTAATACATGCACACCTCTTTTATTCCGAGTTGCGAGTGCGTTGACTCGTCGTCGTCGTAGTAGTCGTCGTCGTCTTGTGGTGCGCGAGCTTGATTATCGTGATAATAGAAAAGTGTCAGTGCATTCATATTATATTATTATTGACGAGTCGAGATATACAGTCGATGTATTGACTGATCTCGACGCGGGTGGAGAGCTAGATAGACGAGCCAAATAAAGAAGAAAAAGGACATCGCGATATTTTTAAAGGGACTGCTTCGTCGCGAGGAGAGGTAATTAATAATGACTAATACTGTACTTGGTGTGTGTTTGGGCTCCGATATACCCGTATACTCATCGTATTATATCCGTTCATAGATCGTTGTTATAAACCTCGCGCTGCAGCGGTGAAAAATAATAATATAATCGCGCGCGCCTCTTCTCTTTCTCTCTCTCTTTCTCTTGGCACACGAGCTTTGTTATAGTCTACATCATCGCATGCACAGAGAGGAGCATTATATATATATATACAACACTCGTTATAAGTCTCGCGCGGCGGTATACATGTATGCTGCCTGTATGTATATACGTTGATGCATGGTATCGCGTTATAATAGCTCGCGCCTCGTGCAGTTTCCCCTCTGCACTTTTGCATTTGCGCGATGGTGTATAATACATATATATGCTACTGCACGTAGTTATAATGCATGTATAACCCATGATAATGATAACGCGTGAGCGCGTGTGCGTGACGTTTTACCAACTCTTTCTTTAATTCTATCGTATATACGATGCACACCTATGTGTATATGTACGCATCGATGTAAGGATCCTTCGTCGGTGTAAACACACACACAGATAGACACAGAGCCTGAAGAGTTACGTTGCGCGCAACCGAGGGTCATGTGTCTCTACTATGCGTGTATGAGTCACAGTCCGTGCGTTTCGCAGCTTTGCTTGACTTTTTTTTTGTTGTTCATTATTATTTCGCTTTCTTTGTGCCGCTGCCCGCGCGAATATTAGTTTCGGAGCGCGTATATAGCTTTTTGCATCTCTCTCTCTGTCTCTCTCGTATACAACGCGGCGTTGACATTATACTACAGAGGTATACACATAAAGCGCGAGAAAAAAAAAGGGCGCGGGTGGTCGACTTTTATACATACATAACATACGAGGGGATCCGTATCCACCGAGCTCGCGACGTTTGATCGCGTATACGTAACGCGTATACAAACGAGGGTACATTATATACGTTTGTGGGTGGTAAGTGTAACGTATACACGCGTTCTCTTTTTTTTTCTCTCTCTCTCTCTCTCTCTCTCCGTTGTTCTCGGTCAAATGATTCGGGCGATTCGCGTTGCGTTTTGTGTCTCGCTTGACGACGCGCGCGCGGCCAGCAGAGCAGCAGCATGAGCGACGACAACGACCGCGCCGCGCGCGCTCGATGGACTTTTCTATATAAAATCATAATAACAATAACAACGAGTGTACACATTAACGACATGATCAATCGTGGTCGCCGCCCGCTGATGTATACATAGCGTGTGAAAAGATCGACTTTTTCGGTTCAGTTCATTTTCTCCCGCGATCGTCGTGCAATAGTAGCGTGCATATGTAGTGTATAGTATGTATTACGCACACGCCGTCGAAACTCGTGCGCCCGCGCGATATATACGCCAATCGTCGCGTTAATTTGAATTTATATAGTACACACACACACACACATGCACACGGGCGATAATTTCGTTCGCGTCGGAATCCGCGCGTAACGCGTGTATGCAGAGCCTGTTATCGACATTGATTTTTTCCACGCGTCCATAGCCGTGCATATACAATAATAATCTCGCGCGCTCGCGAGTATTTCGTAATCCGCCGATATTTAATAACAAAAAAAAAAAGGAAAGAAAGAAACGACGCTTCATCTTGCGCGCGACTTGTAAGATTTCTTCTCTCTCTCTCTGTTTATATAGGTAACCGCGATGACGTTGTTTTGGCGTTGCGAAATTCGTCCACGTATTTATTTAGATCAATGAGCTTTTTGTATTTTTCGAGTGCTTTTTTTCTTCGACCGAATCTCTCCTTTTCTTCGCGTTCGCCTTTCGAGTGTCTGTCTGTGTGTGTATGTGCGGGGGCTATAAGCACGAGAGTTTATTGAATGGAGATTGACATGTATGTCAACGAGCGCGCTGGTTCTTATATTATGTTTGCCTTTGTTATACTTAAGGACTTTTCGTCGTTGTTGTTGTTGTTATTATTCTTGCAACAATAAGTTATTCAAATTTCTTACGAAATTCGGAGCAATCGATGTATATACTCGCATCCGCGATCCGTAAAGTAACTCCTTTTTTCATCTTCCAGATAAACTCGGATTTTGGCTCTCTCACCCCGTATCAGGGATTAAAAAAAAAAACCATGGAGGCCGGAGGTGTGCTGACCGCCGAGCGCAGTCCCGCTCGCTCGAATCTCCACGTCGCGTTCACGGAGAAGGTCGAGGTGAAGGAGAAAAGGGAGAAATTCCTCACGGCCAAGTACGGATCGCATCAGATGTCGCTGATACGCAAGAGGCTCGCCGTGGAGATGTGGCTGCTGGAGGAGCTGCAGAAGCTGTACGAAACCAAGGTGCGCGCTATACAATGACTTAGTGGATAATTGTGCAATTGCATAATGAAATGATTTTTTTTTACACGTTCTCAGAACAAGAGCGAAAACAACAGAGAGGTGGAGGTGGACATAGATGAATTGCTCGATATGGATACCGACGAGCACAGGAAAACTTATCTACAAGTGAGTATTTTTATTTTTGCAATACAATAGAGAGCCTAATGCCATTTTCATGTCGTTGCCGTATACGATGGTAAAACCGTATTATTTTTTCAGGGTCTGTTGGTCGATGCTAAGAAGCCGCCTCACGATGTCAAGGTAGTGCACACGTGCTTTATTGATTTTTGTTACATTCGCGCGAACGCGAGTTGCCATAAAAATTTTACTCGAACCTTAATTTGCAGAAATTCATAAACGATTTACTCGAAAAGACCAAGACACTTTGAAGAGTCAACGGTGCATTAGGGTGACTTCTGAATAGCGGCAACTTCCAAAGTTCATGAGACTGCTCTACTTTGGTACAACCACCACCAACGAACACACACAAACACACAAAAATGTTTTATCTGGAACGTTATACACACACGTAAAAGAAGTACAGAGTACGTATGCTCTAGCGGAGTGCAATTTTGTTTAGATAACGCGTCGGAGATAAGTCTTGAAATCGAATGAGAGAGAGAGAGAATTTTATGCTAAGTATTAATCTGAGTCTTTGTCGGATCATCGTGACGCGCGTCGGGGATACGCCGATTGTGGAAAATTAAAAAAAAAAATAATAATGATAATCTTTGTGAAACATCGTAGTAAAAAAAGCTGTATATGTATCGATGTAAAGCACTAAATGTAGAAGTTTCTCAGTAGCGACAAAATCGTCGGATGAAAAAAAAAAACACACACAAACTGCCTAATATTCGAGAGTTAAGCCATAAAAAAAAATCGATGCTTCTGTTTTCAAAAAAATGAAATAGCCAATCGTTATACATAATCGCTCGGAGCAATAATTCTTAGTAATTAATTTTGTTACGATTAGTTTTTTCAAAGACTGTACGACTCGAGTATATACTCATGTGTAACTTCATACAATACTTCATCATTAATGCACAAATAATGCATCATTTCGTTTTTTCGCGATTGATTATACATGGATCAATGGCGGCCGTTCATTAGCTGATTAAACGAAGTACGTATAATGACGAAAGGAGAAAGGCTTAAAAAACTTGCAAAAGTGCACGCACAATAAATTTAGTTAGGTAATTGTGAATGTACTTTTTCGTTCGATCGATCGGCTAAAGTGCCAAAAACAAAAAGTATCGCCCGATGCAAAATCCCCTATATACTTCGAATACGGAGTGATCAGAAAGATGACGAATAAAAATAGGGTGGCATTAATTTTTATGTCTCAAGCAATGATCTCGGGGCGTCTAAAGATGTAGAACCGCATTTCAAGAGTATACTTTTGTACTTAAAACAAACGCATTTAAAAATACGAGTATAGTAGCGATATGCATTTAACGTCGATTACGTTTTTTTTTTCTTCTCTCTTGAATTACTCAAGATCGTCGCTTGTGTACGAACGACGACATTATTATAAACGTGACTTACATCATTAAATCGTTACTTTTCTTTTCCTATAATGATACGAATTTGATCGACGTCCCAAGTTGAGAAACTTTGAATCAGCGCATAAACACGGACGATATCACCCGTCCGTTTTTTTTAAAGCCGTGATAGATCGTCGGATGATTGTTACTTTTTTATTTTTTTTATTTTTCCTTGTTTTGTCATGAATATATCGATATAATAAGTGTGCACCGATCCATATAGCCGCCTCAAAGCTTCATTGTGATAAAATCATCGAAGTAAAAGGAGAAAAAAAACAGAAAAAAAGATACTTGCGCATTTAGCAATCACGTACGTTAAATAATGTAAAAGAAATATTTGGAAATCGAAAGTAGAAGGTATATAACAAAAAAAAATAACAATAATAAAAATAATTGCCGATACAGGCAATTTGCTCATCTTTCTATATAGCTCTATCTCTCTTTTTCTGTCTCACACATGTGTACGTTTTCAAGCGGAAAGTGTAATGCGCGATTGGTTGTACATACCATCATCGGAGTTATATTATAATCGTGCATTTATATATTACGTGTATTCTATATATCAGTGGATTTGTGCAACGAGATAAATGGTAAATGAAGACAACAAAAAATTTGTAATGCAATTTATATAGCTGTAAGTAGAGTTATGGAATATTTTCGTTACTCCGGGTCAAAAAAAAAAGAAAAAAATTTTGCGGAGCCGCGTCTTAAACATGTTCGATTCGCACGAGTGAGCGATAAGTGTGTGTGCAATAAGAGAAAAAAAATGTGAAAAAAATTTTTCGTTCGACATAATGTTTCAGCTATTCAAACGATGTGTGTATAAAATATTTTATAAAAAAGAAAAGGCAGTATAGCGTATTATTGTTTCACACGCGTTATTCCTCCGATTGTCGTCGTCATTTCATTATTAGGCTACATTATATCGTGAAATTAATTTTAAGGCACGTAACATGTAATACACATCGCGTATACAAAAACGCGTTGAAATTTAACAAAAAAAAAACTTTGATGTACTGCATGTTGCGATTGCGTCTAGTATATATATATTATTACATAGCCAGCTGTGGACCAAACAAGAAATTGTGAAGTTCCATGGGATTTTAACGATAATGACATATATAGAAGAGTGCTATTTTACGTGTGCGAATGGCATGTTTTTTTAAAAATGACAAATCGAAAATAACGAAATGCTTCCTCTTGTTTGAATAAATAAAACTTGTGTATATAGGAGTAAATCGATCATATCGTCATTACACACATAATATTATACTCATATGCTGAATTCGTTGTTTTACTTTTATACATGAAAAAAAAATAAATAAATAAATAAATAATAAGAAGAAGAAAATGAATCAGAGTGCTAATAGGGGTTGTGCATTGTTTAATTTATTATTGTAATGAATTACACGAAAGTATCGCCGAATTTTTAACGTGTACATTTATGATTGTGATGTGCGACGGTGTATGCAAATCAGTTTTTACAAGATGGGCATTAAATACGAATTAAGAAATTTTAAATTATATCGTTCGACGTTTTGGCCAACAAAATTTACGTGAGATTTCTTTAACGAGAATATATTATCAACTGCGCGTCCAGGAGAAGAAAAAGAAAAATTTCGCATCGAATCTCAAAGAAAGTAATTATGGAGAGAAAGGTATGCGTCTCGTTTGTAGATCTGATTTCGTTGTAATGTTATTATAGGATGTATACAAAGGTTTTAAAGAAAGAATCGATCGAGCTGTGATAAAGATGATTTTTTTGTTCTCAGAGTAGAAAATTTCAACGATCGATGAAAAATATGACGATAATTACGTTGTTTCGTAGAAAATGATTTAGCGTTTCCCGTTCGTTACGTTTTTTTTCCATCGCGAAAGTAGGTGTATGTATGTACGAAAATGACTAATCCAACTGCATCGCAACGTTGTGTTTTAATATATAATTGTACACAGGATATATACGTAGTTGAAAAAAAGAGGAAATAACTCAACTTGGAATGTGTGCGCTGATCAGTACGTTATTTTCTGATTTTTAATAATAAATGATGTGCTTTGTTTGTAGTAGCTAAAAAGACGTGTCATGAAGTTTTAGATTTATTATTGTATCTCTTGTGGATGAAGCAATGAAAATAGATAAGTATATTATAACTCGAATGTCTCTTTTCTTCACATGAATCGAATAATCAATTTTTTTCATTGAAAGGAAAATTAAATTGACGTCAAGACTCGTGCGTACGAAATTCTTTTTCACCTCTTGGGAAAATCTACTATCGTTTGTTTTATTGCCCTCATGACTTTACTTCTTCTTAATGTACATTTTTTATACTTTTACAGTTTAGTTATTCAAAAAATGATTTTTCAAACATTTTCAGAAAATTTCAAGAGATCGCTACATGCGTAATCAGTCTCAATCAATAAAAAAATATTTTATTTCAATAGGATATTTATTTTAATAGGAAAAATTTCTTAAATTTTATTTTTCAGTAGTTATCAAAAATAAATTCTAAATGGATATGGGAAAATGAAAATCTAACAGACGTTATATATACACAATTTTTATGTAGAACCTATTAATACCATGATTATTTATTTACACGTTATATATTCTCTAATTTAAAGCTTCGTTTTTGAAATACTCGCTCTGCAATGAAAAAATAATAGTTGAGTTGGCGTAGAGCAAATGTTGATATTCGAAAGTAAATACGTACGTTTGAATTTGTTTACTGCCACTCAGAACAATAAACGGAGATTGAGTTTCCTTTTGTTTGGCTTGCAACAGATTCAGAGTATTCAAGGTAGTATCGGTCGTAGACATCCTTTTTAACAGACTCTCTTGTTCATTTTTCTTCATTCGTTTTTCCACTTTATTTTTACTGGGGCCTTTGCTGTGAAATTTGTGGGACAAATATCGGAAAGCCTCTTTGGCGTTTAGCAGATGACCGTCGTCGTCGATGTACTCCAATTTGACGTTTGGTTTGAAGCCATCTTTCTCTTTGAAATCCATCGTTGGGCGACTGAATCTGTCTCTTCTATGAAACTTGTCATCTTCTCCGTGTGTTTTGTCTTCGATGGAAATTTTTGAGCTTGAAGATGGGCGAATCTCGATTCGGTGGCTGTATTGTTTTCTTCTTTCTCGAGATAGCCTTTGCTCATGGCAAGTTTTAAAGCACTGCCGATACCTCGATCGAGCGATGGTTCATCCAAAATAGCTTCCATTTTTACTGGAGCAATTGTTGTCGCGACGTCTTTGAAAATCATATTTTTAATTATTATATTTCGTCTCACAAAATATAATTAATAAACCAAAGCTATTGTTTACCTGTATCGACCATATTCCATGTACCCCGACTGTCTTCCCTATCTTCACCGATGGGCTCTGGTTTTAGAACTTCTAGCTCAAAGTCCTACAATGAAAACGTATTAAATTAATGAGTAAAACTTAATATTATTTATCCAATAATTAATAAAAACTGAAATCATATACCATAAATTCTGGTTTATCTAATCGGTTCCCAGCTTGACCATAGGTAGGAATTTCGCCCAGAGTTCTACAAAATTTAGCTGTAGCGTTCAACACAATATTATTTGAAATGTTTTCTTCATAAATGCGACTGTTATATGATGATGGTTCATTTTTGGGTGTAAGAAGATCTTCAGGTTTTAGTATTAAGCTTTGGTTTTTTATTTTTTTCGCTCGTGGTATTGGTTCATCATGTAATTTTAAGAAAATTGTATTATCTGAGAGTCCTATGTAATCATTGTTTGATGGTATAAGATTATCAGCTTTAAGTATTTTACTTTTAGCTTTCATTTTTCTAATCTTTTTCTTGGGCTTCCTCGAATTTTTCCATTTCTTCTTTATTGTAATAATCACTGGCTACTTTAGGTTCAAATAGATTTAAACTATCCAATTTTTAATTAGATAATTTTTCTCCTACTTTTTTTTTGCATCCACCATACCTATTGTAAAGCTATCTCGTTTTTCACCACCGATTTCTTCATCATATTTTTCTAAAATATGACCCATTGACATTCCATACTCATCATATTAACTTTCATCAAAGGCATCGTATCCTGGTTTCTTTTGTTTTATTGTAACATTTTTTTTGTAGCGTTCATCATTTATCATATTGACATTTACTAAAGCATCATCATCCTCAGCTAACACATATCTTTATATTTCAGTGTTAAAATGACATTGGTATCTTCTTTGAAATGCTATAATAAAAAATAAAAATATTTCAACTATTAATGTCAATAGCAATACTTTTCATTAAAGCAACTTACCAAATCATGCTCTACACGTAAGCCTTTTAAATCTTTATCTGAATATTCCTTAGCTCTATCATCATAAGCCAGTTATTCTTTTGCAATTTGTCCAAAGCCAAATTCTTCATCCATTTGATCCAAAAGTTTTGCCTAAAAAGTAAATTTTCAAATTAGCAAAAAATCAAAGTAAAGATGAACATACAAATAACAAAGGAAATTCACTCTCTCAGCAGCTTTTTTTTTTCTTCTTCCATTTTTCTATTTCTTTTGACCCAGGCTGCTGCATCATCATCTTCTAAATCTGATCCCAATGTTTTAACAGACGATAAGACAGTTTCAATTAGTCCTTTTTGCTTGATGGTAGCCAGCTTTTCTCTAAGTTTTTCTGATTTTGCCTTCTCTGCATTGTTGATTGCTGGTTTATGGTGAAACTCACCCAAATCATCTTTAAATAGATCAGATCCTGGTTTAGGGCCAGTAACTATCACCAATGGTTTCAAGCCAAGTTTTGCTCAAAGTTTATTGGTTTCTTCGATGGAATACAATTCCTTGGTTTGGCTAGTAGATGGTGGAGTTGAGCTCTTTACCAGATCTGTCATCTTTGGGTGAGGTGTGAGAACATTTCCTGTCATTACTCAAAGTACTGTACTCTTTGCTCTGCAAGAGGAATTTTATTTTAGTTTACTTATAAAACCAAACTTATAAAAACATACAAAGGAAAAACCTACCACGAGTGAAATGGTTGGCGGAGAAGGTGGCTGTGGCTGAGTATACTTGGACAATGCAGGGATTTCATCGATGAATTCCACTGCAGAGGAAAAAGACAAAATTCATCTTTGAGAAATAACTGCAAAGTGTTAATAAATAGCGTTCTATTCGTCGTCGTAAAAAGTAAAACTATCATCCTGGATCATTAATTTTTGTAATTAAATGATAAGCACCTAACTATTTCCAATGCCTTGAACAAGGGAATGTAACTGTAGTCAAACGTAAGAGTAGGATGCATGAGTATGAAAATGTGCGATGTATGAAACAGTGTCAGAAGTGCTCCGGAATATTTATCCTTCATGTTGGCCCAAGCGTGGAGGAAATCCTTCTTCTCCATGTTCTCAACAAACTGATTGTACTGTTTTGATAAAGTATAAGCGTCGAAGCATCCTTTCAAGTGTAAGAATACCGCATTGACTCTTTGGTCGAAGTAACCTTCGATTTCAAACTGCAATCATTGACACAGATACATTTTTATCAGTCGTATCATGGTAGATTATATTACCACTTACCATTGCCTCGTTGTCAATGGTGGGATGCTCGTTAATGGCCGGCACCAGGATGGAGTTCACCATCTTGGACTTGTCCGACTTGGCTTTGTAGGTGCTCTTGCCGAAGATCGACACCACGACGACGTTCTCGTCCAGGAACGGCAGCAACGAGGCGTCGTACTCGTGCGGCACGATGAATCTCGGCGGCCTCGGCATCTCGCGATTGAAGGAGCACAGTTGAAAGAGAACACCGACTCAACAAAAATCTACGACGACGACGACGTCGACGACAGCAACAACAACAACAACAACGAAAAAGTCGATGAAACTCGAACGCAAGGTAAACAACATAGTTGACTTGACTTCTGCTTCTTCTTCTTTTTTTGGCCTTGGAATCTTAATAGATTGCCGGTCTGCCACACTTCATGTTCTTGACTTCTGCTGCTGGTGCCGCTGCTGCTGCCGCTATGTTATAAGGAATCACCGGCGCCGGCCTGCGACGCCACAGCTGATTCTACCGAGTGCCGATTGCAAGCCTGGCAGCCGTCGTACAGGCGCGCGCGCGCAAAAATCGAAAACTTTTGAACGTGCCTTCATAACAATACAATCGGAAAGACCAATGACGGATTGTTTCACTGTATATGAAACTTGTTTTTTCCTACTTTTCTCGAGCTGCACAAAATGATGATTCCGATATATTCCTCGCTTACTCTGTAGTAGTTTCTGTACGCGACGACGACGACGAAAAAAGTTTTGTTTACATGCGGTACGTACAACCGATTCGCGCATACCAGTGCCTTTTCGGAGTCGTTATAATGCTATGTGTAACAGACGTGTGAAAGAGAAGGATGACAAGAACGTAAAATCTCGCGATTATCTCTCTCTCTTTCTTTCTTATGAATATACCTGTGTGTACATGTCAACAATCATACTACTCACTTGACCGCTAAAATTTAACCGACGGTCTGTAGCGCGTATGAAATCCAAACAATATCACTCTCTGCTGCTTGCTCAGAAGTTCAGTTCAGAGTTTTGGAAATTGTGAAATATCATGGCGTTTTGCCGTTCTAAAAGTGATAAAATCTTAAAAACAGGAGATATTCTCCTAATATATCCACACACGATGATAAATGACGTTAAAGTACTTGTAGATGATCTTCAAAAGAACACAACATTTACTGTGAGTATATTTGTAATTTTTTGTATTACTAAAATTGCAAAAGCGATCGCCCCAATACAATTCATATACTCCGATTTTTAATAGCCTAAATCATGGTGGATCACTAACGATGAGGAAATGGATGAAGTGGGGGCATACTTATGGGCGAAGAACAAGATACTAAACAGAACAAAAACGATTGTTTTTGACGACATGAAAGTCGATACCTTATTGGAAGATGGAACGAGAGGAGATGTACAATATCCCGGAGGACCACAAGATCATGCATTTATTGAATTGATGCAAGATTTGCATTCCTTGCAAGAACAAGGAATGGAGCTGATTGTAGTACAGATGGACAATAAGGAGGAACTTCCATCAAAGTATCCCCGTTACACTAATATTGATTTCTACCAAAAAGTAGCAGTTAACACTGCATATAAATATCCTGTAGATAAGGATAGATTCTTTCAAGTGTTAAGTCAGTATTTCTGCATTTATTATTTATTTTATATGATAACTTAATTATGTGTTACATGTTATTTATTTTCATTTTTCAGATCCCAATGAAGATAACTAAATATATTATTTGCATAAATTATAAATTAATAATGTATAATAATGTATAAAAATACAGATTAATTCAAATAAACAAAATTATTCATCTTACATGTTTCAAATACGTTGATAAATTTAAATGGATTATTACCATGATTGCAGTTTGAGTTAAGAGTGGAGCATGAAAAAAAGCAGCTACCGCTAGGACCAAGTAAGTAATTAATCACATGCAGAGTAATGCAATAACTTTTTTCCAAATATTCTTCAGTTGAACCAATGTATTGTATAATCCAGCCCAATTTTTTATATATCTTGGCTTGCATTTTATCCATCCAATCAGCCAAAATAGAATGGTTTCATTCATTCTATCAAGTTTGAGCATTGCTATCAGTGCTGTTTTCAATTTTATTCCAAATTTCTTTAGCTTGAATCTGAATATTTTCTAGATCTGATGTAAGTTCTTCATGATGTAGACTTTGTTCAGCTGCATGATTTTTCTTCAAGTCTTGATTCGCTTTTTCTAAATTTTTGACCAATTAGTCCCGATTCAAAGATACGATAAATTCAATAATTTTTTCTTTAGTTAAATCTTCAAGATGATCTTGACTTTCCTAAAAATTATCTATTAACTGTTATTTCTGTTACTGCTCGAAACTGGTTACTTCTTGATGATTAACATATTGTTCTTGCTCTGTTACTCATTAAATGATAGGCATTCCATGTAACAGCATTCATTTCAGAAGTACATTCTTTGATTGTCTGAAAAAAAATTAAAAGTAGTAAGATATATTATTGAGTTTTTTAAAAGTAAATGAATAATTCAGTTGAAAAATTTATCTATCAGAATATTATTTATTTAAAAATGTTTGAAAGTCATGATTCAGCAAAGGAACAAGCTGCAACAGGTCTTGCAGTTTAAAAGAGACAAACAAGTTGTTTGAACGTCATAGGCTGGATGATTTATTTTTTAGGGGTTGAGCAATAAAAGAGGGAAGAGTTTCTACAAGTTTGAACCTGCACAAGAAGTCTAGGCATGTCAGTTAATATCAGTAGAAAAATCCCAATAAACTTATATTCTGTAACAATAGAATTCAAATAAAACTGAATAAAACTCACCATTCCATCTGTGCAAGGAAAAGTTCTTCTTCCTTCATTCTCGGATTGACAATTTAGAAGATTAACACTTAATTTAGCCAGCTGTTCCTTGGACATGCTACTACAGGAAGTCTTGATCTTCATTATGACTTTGTGCGGATGTATTTCTAACAAGGATGATACCTGGATGTCGGTGACAAACTTTGAGGCCTCTTTGAGTGATTTGTATAGGGTATGATGATCAGAGACAATCTCCATTGAATTCAACTGCCTTGGATTCAATAATTACAGTTAAATTGTTGTTCATCGATTGAATTGAAAAATCTGCATAGTTTAATTTAATAAATAAAAAATAAATAAAAAAGTATAACTCCCAAGTCTGGTTAAAACCAGTTCAGAAATTGACAGCTTTGAATTAAATCAGAATATGTTGCAGTATTTTAGTATTTTAGTATAGCAACTTACTTATATTACAAAATTGTTAATTGATTGATCACACTTTATACAATGACTGAAATTAATTTAGTATGCTGATATGGAGAACACATAGTTTAGTTTTTTTTTAATTTACAAAACAACAAGTTAATTGATATATTTTTTTTTAATTTTTTGTTGACTACGTGAATATTCTGATATTTGCCCAGTACGAAATACAAATTATGTTCACAGAACTAGTCCTTTTTATTTAGTATTTTCAGAATTTAGTCCTTCAAGAACTTGAAACAATGCAGTCACGTAAACATAGCGAATTCTGGACTTTGTATATGCTATTCCGTGTCGTATTGTTATTATTGCCGTCTGTCTTAGACACACCAGCGCCCTATTTCGCTATATTTACGTTTTTCCCGCGTGTCAGAAATACATTTAAAAGTAATCTAAACTGCTTGATGCTTAGCCATAGCTTATACAGTTCACTCTCGGTTGCAAGTCAATTTTTTTGAAGCTCGATTACGTGAGAATAACATGGAAAATTTACAACATTAAATAACAGACAACATAACATTTTCTTATTTCATATTTATTTGCAATCTGTGAATTCATGTGGCAATGAAAGAGGGAATATGACGTTGGTGCCTAAAGGTGTGGACCTCGTCAGAATTAGTCGAAAGCTCGAGCAACTTCAAAACAGCTAATGTAAAGAGCTTTTATTCTAAAGATTTTTGAATTTGATAGGCGATTCGATTGGCTTGTTCTATCGTTGAGATGACTTGGCGATTGACTTGCTTCATCGTTGACTATTTCCATTTTCACCCAGCTATAATATTAAACTGATTGATTAATAGGACGAAAAGTTGTCGTTGCAGTTTTTCCTGCCTTTCGGTTGAGATCATTTGTGCTTTTTTCCACTGAGCTGAGGTAGATGACCCAGTCAAAGACATGCATTGATGAGTATGGTTGATGAATCTTGGAGCAATTGCATGTGATGAGCATCTTCTATAGTTTTGAAGTACTAATTGATACTGTTAACTTTCGACTGTTTTATTGGTAAGATACGAGAGTTAAAATTAAAATGCTGTAAATATGCTAATCAAAAACACTAACTTTGTCTTGAAGCTGCCACACAAATATGATACAAATCTTCGTTTTCCAAGTTATCCATGATCATTTCACAAGGGAGATGTGGCAACCTGTAGTTGATCAGCTCCATAAAAGGATCCATTACCCAACGCCAGAAAAATCTTCTACTTATTTTTTCGCTTAGATGTGTGACACAAGCCTCAAGAAGAATTGAAGTATATATCCTCGATCCAAAACCACACGAAAACTTGTAATAGTCCTCGTAAGTGAGTAATTTTGCTGCCTCTACGGGTCGTAACTGGATCAGATCGTAAAGCGACAGCCTCGAATTTACCATTGTTTCTTGGGCTACCGTCGCGAACTCCTCGTCGTCGTACCAACATTTTCCGAGATTCGTCAGCTTCTCGAACAATCCGTACTTGGAGAACAATTTCATGACGATCAGAGCGTCGCTTCGGTCCAGTTCGTATCCTCTTTTTTTGAGACGTTCGATGACAGCCATCACACCAGATGCTAGAAACAATTTCACATAATTTCTATCTCTTACATGAATTTCAAAGCAGTCGTCGAAATCACTCTCAATTGGAAAAACGAAGCTGGACAGATCGGCGCCACGATCCAAGAGCACATCGATGGTATTCGGCTTGAGATTCGCCACAGCCAATTGAAGCGGCGTCCGACCCCACTTGTCCTTTGCATCGATCTGTATCACCTGATTTAACTCATCGTTGATATCGAAGAATATCTTGGCCAAATCGTTATCCCAATAATATTTGGAAATACTGTGCAAAGGGGTAAATCCGTCCTCGTTGGCCAAATTCGCATTGGCGCCTCGTCTCAGCAGAGTCTCAGCCGTCTTTTTTCTGCCTCGAAGTAGAGCTAATTGCAGCGGTGTCCGGCCCTTCTTATCCCAGACGTCGACTTGCACCTGCTGATTTAACTCGTCGCTGATCTCGAATAACATCTCGGATAAGTTATCGAGGCGAACTGATGTGGCAATAATGTGCATAGAAGTCATTCCGTAATTGTCGGCTAAATTAAGATCTGCACCGCGTCTCAGCAGAACCTCGATTGTCTTCTTTTCGCCTTGAAGTAAAGCCCATTGCAGCGGTGTCCGGCCCCAGTTGTCCTTTGCATCGACCTGCACCAGCTGATTTAATTCGTCATTGATATTGAAGAATGTTTCCGCAAAGTCGTCCTCTTGGTAACTCCGGCTCATAATGTGTAAAGACGTAAACCCCGATGAACTGGTTAGATTAGGATTGGCGCCTCTTCTCAGCAGTAATTTCATCACATTCTTGTGCCTCCGCATGGCAAAATATAGGGGTGTCATGCCCCATTTATCTTGGGCGTCGACTTTCACTGGCTGATTTAACTCGTCATTGATATTGAAGAACATCTTCATTAAGTCATAGGGATCATTTAACATCTCGCAAATGTAATGCAGAGGAGTTGTTCCGTCCTTGTTGGCCCAATTCAAACTGGCGCCGTTTCTCATCAGTAATTCGGCAGTCCTTGAGGATCGACGGTTCATAAGAGCCAAAAGCAGCGGCGAATCGTCTGTTTTTTTCCAAAGAAGATTAGGATCTTGGCCGAGCTCGAGGAATTTTTTGACGATATCGAAAAAGTCACACGCACAGGCCACATGGAAATGAGTGCAGCCCGACTCGTCGGTGTAATTTACGTCAAAACGGTCGTAAATTTGAAAAAGGTCACTGATCGTGGTATTGTAATTGTAGGGAAATGAAAAGCGGAATCTAATAAAATGATGCAGTGCAGTGGTGCGAATAAAAATTGGCTTGCCATATTTATCCAGGTCGGGCTCGTCTTTGTAGCCGCTGCGAGCCACGAAGCCGATGATTCTTTCTCCTTGATCACGTTGTGAGTGTGATCTTGTGTTTCTATGAGAAGCCTGCGTGAGAAGCCAGTCGATATCTTCGCGACGAAAAAAATTGCCGAGATCTGGTAATTCACCCTGCCATTCTTGGATTAAAGTGTCAAGTTTATCGAGAAGTAGGGGCAGTTCTTCTTTGATCTCCGAATCGACTTTTTCTCGACAAATTTTCAAATTCCAGCTCAAAATTGCAAGTTTCACGTTGCCCATCGTCTCACACACTTTCGCGTAAGCTCAATCGCTTAAGACTTAAAATATTAAATAATTTTCACTTTTTGTCGCTGCTGGAGTCGATATGTCAATGCAATATTTTTTTTGTTCTCTTCGCTGCGGCTCCGTAACTACTACTGACTGTATTCGCATAAACTTCGATCCGAGCACGTATAGGCGTTGGGGGAAGCTATATTGTAGCGAGGGATATTGTCTTATGTGTATATAAATGCGGCCACTAACATGTGTGGGAGGGAGAGAGTCACAAATACACTACCAGCTGCAAATAATAGGGGCTACTTTCCCTGATAGTTTGGATTTGATGGGTTGGGTTCATCGAGTCCTATATTTATATAAGCTATGAGGAAGCAGATGACTGGACCATATAGGCTTTTCACTGAATGTTTAGCGAAAAAAATCGTTTACCTTAATGAGTCATAACTATGTTTTCACTCGAATAACAACGACTTGAACGAAAAAAAGGAGAGAACGCAATAGGTATTTAAATAATTTTTTTGCACAATAGTTTTCGTTGTTCGGCACTGCACAGGAGTGGCAAAAGGGTTCAAGGGTTTAAGGGATAAGAAAAATGCGATATTAACTCATGCATCAACGATATTGAATGAACGACTTGCACCGATTGGAACGGAATATTGAGTATTTATTTATCCAATCATCGGACCAATAGAAGATTCGAATATTATTTTATTCTATTCCTTTTGAGGTATTACATATACCGATCGATACCAACACTGATCGATAAACGTATCTAAACTAAAAGTGAAAGCATCTCCTAAATGGTAACGTCTGCGTATCTAGTCCGGACGCAGACTGCTGAGGGGGTTTTCGTGATCGATTCAAGTCCGCCAGAAGGAACAATGATTTTCGACATATTTTAGCCTGTTAAATCTGAATATTAAACTCGTTTTTTCAAACAAAAATTAGTACAATTCCAATCAGTTTTCAAAGTACAATAAAAACTCCGCAGATTTACTCGCGGTGGAGTAGCCCCGAAGTGTCTGCACAAGACAATCTCACAGGGGAGCAAGAAGCCTCGCAATAGGCGAGGAATCATCAATCCATAGCCGGTATAGCTGTGGCTGAGTATAGTTCGACGGTTTAGGGATTTCATCGATGAATTCCACTGCAGAACAACAAGACAAAATTCATCTTCAAGAAAAAACTACAAAACGTTAATAAATAGCGTTCTCTATTCATCGTCGTGAAAAGTAAAACTATCATCCTGGTACCTACCATCGCTGTCGTGCTCCTTGCGATCGCTTTTTTTTTCGACTTCTTCTGATGCAGTCTGCTGCCGCTTCTCTGCCTTTCATCGCGCACCAGAGAGTACGACAACCTGGATCGGCTCCTGCAGCATTTCTTTCTCGCATCTCGACTGCATCTCTCCTTTTCCGACGTGTGTTTTCTACTTGAACCCAAACAGTCAAAATTTATTAAAATTTGACAAGAAATTCAAAAACAATATTTTCAATTTTTTTACCGGAATCATCGGGTTCCAGGAACCTTTTTTGTTTAAAATTACGTTTTTCGGCTCTAGACTCTATCGCCTTCAATTGAAAAATCTGAAAAAATTTGAGATCATGTATTTTGATGAAGGAAAAAAGAAAAAATTTTTTCAGATTTTTTAAAGCTCTGTATTGCCTTAAAAAAATTATTTTCGTGAAAACAGAGGGTTTTCAGCTTTAAGTGTTTCAAAAAAAGTGAGATATAAACACAGGCTAAAAACTCAAATTGACTCAGCCTGTAATGGCAATATCAGACCTGCATTTGATATTTGCGGAAAAGTCTTCAAACAAAGAGGTGATCTCAACAGACACATAGATTCTAGTGCACAAGCGAATTGGACACATATCAGACATTTGTAGAAAGATATTCACTAGAAAAGGTCATCTTAAAACCCACATAGAATCGATACATTATAAAATCACGCATTCATGTTATAAATGCCAAAAGATGTTCTCGGATAACGGTTACCTCAATACACGAATAGATTCAATACATAATGTTGTCAGATATGCATGCGAGACACGCGGAAAGACGTTCGGACAAAAAAGAAGTTACCTCTTGCGGGAACTGTCATCCCCAAACTGCGACATCTAGGGGTAGATCGC